TAGGTCCAGTTCATCAAGTTGTATCAGATGACACTTTTTTTTCCTCTTCTTTCTTCCTCGGGTTGAGTTCTGTTTATCCTGTCATTGAAGCCAGGTCATGTGGGTATCATCTGCAAGTGTGGGTATTCTTGCGTCTGTCTGCCCTCTTCTTATCAGCTGGTCTCTTCGCTCTCTGCTCTAGTCGTCTGTGGCTGTGTCACTGACTCTGAGCGCATGGGTCCCTTACAATATGCCATTTGATTTCTTGACTGCTGCTTCCATGAGTGTTGATAGTGGGTCCAAACAAAATGAAGTCTTGGAAAACTTCAATCTTTTCTCCATTTGTCATGATGCTATTTATTGGTCAAGTAATGAGAATGCAACCCATACTGAAGGCTGTGGTCTTTGATCTTTATCAGTAAATATTTTAAGTCTTCTTCACTTTCAGCAAGCAAGGTGTATCATCTGCATATCTCAGATTGTTAAGAATTTTCCTCCAATCCTGATTCCACGTTCTTCGTCATATAATCTAGTTTCTCAGATTAAGTGTTCTGTGTACAGATTGAATAAATATGGTGAGAGAATACAACCCTGGCACACACCTTTCCTGATTTTAATCCACTCAGTGTCCCCTTGTTCTGTTCCTCATGAGCACAATTTAAGTGTTCTGGAAAACTTATTCTCTACAATGTTATCCATAGCTTGTCATGATTCACACAATCGTAAGCCATTGCAGAGTCAATATAGCACAGGTAAACATCTATGTTCCATAGTAGACTTCTTTTACTTTGAATTCTTTCATCTTTTGGATTAACTGCTATTTCAATATAATCATAATTCTTGTTTTCTATTCCCTAGTATTATAACTCAGTGGAAAATAGCCTGTCTACTAAAAAAGCATATGCGTTGGAAGACCATGACAAAGGCTGAAATTCAAGAACTTAGGCATAAAATTGAGACTGCACAACATAGGAAAGTTGAATTATATGAAGAGGTAAAGAGAACTCAAGGGCATTCGGAACCAGTCCCCTACACTGCATTAAAGTAAATTCTCCTTCAATTTGTAATTAAACCTTATCTAATTAAGGGGCATTTTCTTTTCTGCTGACTTTCTAGTTAGGGTGAATTACGTAATTTTCTTAAGACATGCATCAATTTGTTGTATATTAACTATGGGGATTTAGCAAGTGAAGTATCAAGTCTCTTCAGAAAACACTTTTGAAGTATGCAACCGAATACAAATTTGAGGTTAGCCTCTAGGGAAAATATCTCCCAAAATCTGAAACCAAACATCATGCAATCACCTTCTATATATATACCCTCTGCCTCTCCTACACTCCCCACTCTTTCATTTCTCATGCTATATTTATAAATATACTTTGATTTTTTTAAAAAATCTAATCTTAGGAGAAAAAACAAAATCCCTCTCAGTAGCTACTGAGAGATAATATGATCTGAATTCAGAGACATGTCACAAGCAAAGGGACATTAATTTACCTAGTTGCTTGAATATAAAAGGTAGAACTCTATAAAGAAATAATAATTCCTCATTTTTTTTTCCAATTAGACCAGCTCTAGAGAAAAAGAGATCAATGAATTTGTGGGACAGATTGAAAAACTTACAGAAGAATTAAAACAAGAGGAGGAAGAATTTATTTACAAAGAAAAACTGCTAATTGAAGAGATAAGCATCTATGAGGTAAGCTTTATTTTACATCTAGAAATACTTTTAGATGATTATATGAAGTGGAGGGGAATAACTGATCTTTGATGCTATTCTAATCAGTTAAATGTAAAATGAGATCTACTGGTACAAGCAAGGCTATATCTGATCTTTCTGTGTACCTAATATTTTGTTGTTGTTAAATGCCATCAAGTCGATTCCATCCATAACGACCCTGTATAGGGTTTCCAAGGAGCGACTGGTGAGCTTGAACCTCCGACCTTGCAATTCAAATGACTGACTTTTCAGTCTGGTGCATTAACCCACAATGCCACACCAGGACTTCTGTGTGCCTAATAGAAAGCCCCCAAATCCATTGCTGTCATCGACTTGATTCTAACTCACAGGGGACCTGACAGAACAGAGGAGAACAGTTCCATAGAGTTTCCAAGGCTGTAATCATTTTGGAGAGGAGCCCTGACAGTGGTTAAGTGCTCTGCTGCTAACCAAAAGGTTGGTGATTTGAACTCAGAAGATGCTCTGCAAGAGAGAAGTATTGCAGTCTGCTTCCAGAAGGGAAGAGAGCGCTCCCATTGCCGCTGCAGGAGCAGGACCCAGAAGTGGCATATACTGCTGCTTCTGATCATAAACTCATTGGATACACCTAGCTTCAAAGGAGGCTGAGAAATGACTCTCTAGTTGGCTCAGCTAAAACTCCTGAGTCCTAATATCAAAGAAATGGAGAGTGGGTATTGAATGTCAGCAGGCTGTCTCTGCCTTAGTCACTATTTTAAACACATTCTGATTTTTTAAAAAGATATCCAACTATTTCCTTAAAACTTGAGAAATTAGCAGATATCATCATGTGTTACTTTAGGTAGCTTTAAACTACTTATTGTGACATTATCAAATTATTCCTTCCTCCTCCCCGTTTCTTATTTGCACCTGTATTACATTGAACTTGTGTATATCTGTTTTGAGTCCTTCTGTTTTTTTCCAGAAAATTCAATCAACCAAAGGCAAGTCTCTCAAATATGTTTTAGGGCTGCATAAGTGGTAACATTAATAAGGTTATAGCACTAGACTTATAAAGAGAGCTAAGGAGCTCTGGTAGCTTAGTGGTTACGAGTCAGGCTGCGAAACCTCAAGGTCAGCAGTTCAAAACTACCAGCTGTTGCGCGGGAGAAAGATAAGGCTTTCTGTTCCCATAAAGATTGACAGCCTCAGAAACCCTGTACAGGGTTGCTATGAGTCAGAACCGACTCCACAGCACATAACAACAACAACATACAGAGAGCTGAAAGGATCTATGGAGAGCCAACTGAACCTAGTCTCCTTACTTAGAGATTGTTAGACAGTCAGGGAAGGAGCCATGACTGTAAAGTGGGTTCAAGTTGAGCTGCTAATCACAATTCAGCAATTTGAAGCTATAAGCTTTTCTGTAGGAACAAGATGAGGCTTTCTGCTGTCATAAAGATTTACAGCCTTAGAAACCCTATAACAGGGTTACTATGAGTCAGAACCAACTCCAAGACACATAACCACCACCACCACAGAGTCAGTAGGGCACCCAACAAATATTTATTAACCACTTAGTATATGCCAGATGGGGTTCCTGGTTATGTGCTTGGCTATTAACCAAGAGGTTGGCAGATTGAATCTATACATAAGTGTCTCAGAAGAAAGTCCTGAAAATCTACTGCTGGAAAATCAGCCATCGAAAACCCTGTAGAGCACAGTTCAACTCCAACACACAGAGAGTTGGATATTCTTGTTTGTTTAATATGCCCGTCCTGGTGGGGTGCTGTAGAAACAGCACTGGACTGCGAACCATAAGGATGGCAGTTCAAACCTACCAGATGCTCCTTGGAAACTATATACAGAGTCGCTATGAGTGGAAACCAACTGGACAACACTTAACAACAACAGCATCTTGGGATAGAAAGAGAACAACACTGAAAATAGAAATACCTTATGAACCAGCAATTCCTCTACTTGGTATTTACCCACAAGAAAAAAGAGCCACAATCCGAGAAGATATATGCACACCAATGTTCATAACAGCACTATTTACAATAGCAAAAAGATTGAGGCAGCCAAAGTGCCCATCAGCTGAAGAATGGATAAACAAACTGTGGTACACACACACACAATGGAATACTATGCTACCTTGGAGAAGAACAAGGAAGCTACAAGCTACCACATAACATGGGTGAACCTTGAGGACATTATGTTGAGTGAAATTAGTCAGTCACAAAAAGAGAAATACTGCATAGGACCACTACTGTAAAAGACTAAGAAAAAGAACCCATATTAAAGGGGGGTAAGGAGGATTCTTTGTTGATTGCTGGGATGTTGGGGGTGGGTGAGGGGAGGGAGGGGAAGGTGGAACACAGGACAGGGATTAGACCTGAACCTCCGACACTTTTCAGTCTGGTGCATTAACCCACATTTGCAGTTGGGGTGTTGGGGAGGGGGCAGTATACAAGAACGGAGAGGGGAATGGAAGAACAAAGCAGATGTGAGAACAATTAGGCAGGTCTGAATGGGCTAAGTGGGACAGAGGTAAATAATGATGTTTCCAAAAACCTTGGAACAACAGGACTCTGGGATACAGAGATTGAGACATGGTTGGAATAGAGAAAAAGGGGGAATAATGTTAAGATGCTTGGCTGTCTTTTGAATCTTGGTTTTCCTTGCATTATATTATAAAATAGACACTGGAGGGGGAGAGAAAGTAATAGCCAGAAACATCACCATAGAAAGCTTGTAAGTCCATCTTCTTCCTATAACTGACTGGAATACCTAAAATGGGGCTACAATGTGCCCAGTGAAGGAGGCTTCCTGTGGAGCATCTGCAATACATAAGACTATAGGTGGAAGCCTGAACCACATCCAGATCTCCAGAGATGGGAAATTCCCACTTGAAAGGATGAGCAGACCAGCCTGGAGCAGATAGAAGAACAGAAGATACTTCTTGAAAGAAAGACCTACAGGAAAAATATAAAACAACATAGGCAGACCGACTGTTAGTACAAGAACAAGCAAGTTGCTTGCCCAGGAAACATCAAGACAAGTGGTCGGGTCCCCTCAGAGAAAAACCCCTTCCAAGGGAATACACGCTCTGATTGGTGACCATGCTCGTCATCGATAAGGGGAAGTGAGGGAAAAACAGCAATGAAATGGCAAGCTAAGCCCTACAGTGTTCAATAGACTTCTGTGAACCCGGGTGAAGACCTGGTTGGCCAGCAGTGTGGCTAAACCTGGTGACTCGGGCCCAGAGTCAGTGACATAGCCATAGAGGACTAGAGTGGAGAGTGAAGCGTCCAGATGATAAGAGAGGGCATATGCACAAGAACACCCACACTTGCAGAGAATACCCACTTGACCTGGCTTCAATGACTGGATGATCAGAGCTCAACCAGAAGAAGAAAGAGGAAAGAAAATTAATCTGATACAATTTGATGAACTTGGGTTACACCAGTTGAAGCACTAGCTCAAAAGAGGAAACAAGTCCACACACAGAGTATACAGGGATGGGCAACTTGGACATTGGCTACCCAAAATGGGGATGGGGGGCTACAAAGGCAAGAAGTGACTGGCTTACAAGCTTTCAAGAGGGAACCTAGACCCAAAGGCCTGGAGGAAGGTAGAATCTCCAGTGAGTAGTATCCAATCTGTCTAAGCGGGGCTGATGAAATGAAATGCAGATGGGTCTCTTGTGATATAATAGTGAATAATTGTTATCAGGACTGATTGTGAGGGTTGGAAATGTAAAGGTAAACATTTTATAGCAAGGAGGGGAGTGATTAACTTTCCAGTCTAGGAGCGGAGGTCCCTAGTACCATCAAGGGAGAAGAGCAGAGAGCTGGACCTTACCCAGAGAAGCAGTGATGCCCGAGATGGAGGCAGAGATGATGACATGGAGCAATGGAGCAGCTGAGGAGTTTAGATCCAGAGAGGGAAAGGGACTGAGTGCTGAAGATGGGGTGGGGGGGAGGGGGCAGGCTTGCAGGGTATACCCTTTGGTTGGTTGATGATGCATGGAGGTGATTGTAACCATGGCAACGAGACAATATACGATAGAATGAATGTAAAACTAATGTTCTCCCATGTAAACTATCACATAATTCATAGTAAAACATTAAAAAAGAAACAAAACAGAGGGAATAGAAGCAAATACAGTTGAATGATGATGCATGGAGGATTGTAAAAAAAAAAAATGAAAGAGAACAACACAGAGAAAAGTCTTTTCCTCCAACAGCTTGCATTCTTCTCTAAGAATTCATTTTATTTTCTTCAAAGGATCAATTTGTTAAAGAAGTGAAAAGTAACAAAGAAAAAGAAGAAGAGCTAGTTGAATGCCTTCCACAACTTCAAGTGGCAGAGGAAATGTATAGGGAAAAGTTAAAAAGGCTTGAAGAGCTTGTGAATATTCTTGCAGGTACATTCAATGCATTTGATAATTGCCCTCAGTCCCAGGTGAGGATTTTACCATTGTCTTCTGATACAAAGCTAAGCATCAGTCTATTAGCCAATGGTGAGATTCATCTGACTTTCCCCATGACCCTGTTACTCTTTATTCTCTAAGGTTTCCCTCTTCTATTAATTTTGTCTCCTCCACACCACAACCTTATTATTGCTGTTGCCAACTTTTTTTCTTTTCTCTTTTGCTGTCTGTTTAAAATTGAGAGTTAGTGTTAACTACTTTATCTTATGGAGTCCTGGTGTGGCGCTGTGGGTTCATTGCCAGACTGCAAAGCTGTTTGAAATGCAACGTTTGTGGTTCAAGCTCACCAGCTGCTCCTTGGAAACCCTATACAGGGCCGCTATGGGTCAGAACTGACTTGACAGCACTTAACAACAACAACAACTTTAACTTAGTTCTCACCATGCTGGGTAAAGGTAGAACCAACGCTATCTGCTACCATATGAAGATTTTTTTTTTTTTTCTTAAGCATGTGTTTGCTAATTGTATCTCATGTCCAATTATGATTTTAGCCATTTATTAGGTAGCTATTCCTTGGATTTGTTTTCATTAACCTACCTTTAGGGCAGAGATACGTAAAAGCTTGTCTCAAATCTGGGAGCTTAGCAAAGGAGGTGAAATGTCTCTGAAATCTTACATATTTTGCATTCTATTACATAGCATCTCATCTGTCAGTTTGTGTACTGTGGTGGTTGTGTGTTGCTGGAAGCTGTGCTAACAGTAATTTAAATACCAGAAGGATATCTCATGGTGACAGTTTTCAGTGGAACTTCCAAACTAGGAAGAAGGAGAAGTAGACCCCTTTCATAAGGTTAACTACTAAAAACCCTATGGTTAGCAGAGGAACATCAACTGATATAGTGCCAGATGATAAACCAAGGGGCCAAGGTTAGAAGAACCTCCTCAAAGGAGAGTTGGTCTTAATGATGTGGATGGCACAAAGCTTTTGGGATTTTCATTTGCTTCTCAAAATGAGGAGAAACAGCTGTAAACATTCATTAATAATCAGAACATGAAATGTATGAAATACGAATTTAGGAAAATTGGAAGTCATCAAAAATGAAAAAGAACACATCAAGATCAATATGCTAAGCATTCGTGATCTGAAATGGACTGTATTGGCCATTTTGAATTGGACAATCATGATTTACTATGCCAAGAATGACACACTGAAAAGGAATGGCATCACATTCAACATCACAAAGAGTATTTCAAGTTCTATACAATACTGTCTGTGATAGGATAATAGCAATGTGCCTACAAAGAAGACCAGTTAATACCACTATTATTCAAACTTACACACCAACTACTAAAGCCAATGATGAAAATTGGAAGAAATCTACCAATTTCTTCACTCTGAAATTGATCAAACATGCAACCAAGATGTGTTGATAATTACTGGTGATTGGAATGTGAAAGTTGAAAATAAAGAAGAATCAGTAGTTGGAAAACATGACCTTGGTGATGATAGAAAAGATGCTGGAAAAGATCACATGATAGAATTTTGCAAGACCAGTGACTTACTCATTGCAAATACCTTTTTCAACAACATAAATGGTGACCATACATATGGACCACACTGGAGGAGATACACAGTAATCAAATTGACTACATTTGTGGGAGGAAACAATGGAGAAGCTCAATATCATCAGCCAAAACAAGGTCAGGGGCTGACTGTGGGACAGACCATCAATTACCCATATTCAAGTTCAGGCTGTAGCTGAAGAATATTAAAGCAAGTCCACAAGAGCCAAAAAAATGACATTAAGAATATCCCACCTGAATTTAAAGACCATCTCAAGAACAGGTTTAATGCATTAGTCACTAAGGACCGAAGACAACTGGAATTGTGGAATGACATCAAGAAAATCATATACAAAGGAAGCAAATAGTCATTTAAAAGACAGGAAAGAAAGAAAAGACCTAAATGGATGCCAGAAGAGACTCTGAAACTCTTTGCTCCTGTACACAGGAATTAAAGCTGTGAGTACCCAAGTTAGATCTTGTTGTTAGGTGCTGTTGAGTCTGTTCTGACTCATAGCGGCCCTATGCACAACAGAATGAAGCACTGCACCATCCTACACAACCTCACAATCATTGCTGCACTTGAGCCCATTGCTGCTGCCACTGTGCCAATCCATCTTATTGGGGGTCTCTCTCTTTTTCACTGACTCTAACTATACCAAACATGATGTCCTTCTCCAGGGACTGGTCCGTCCTGATAGATATCCAAAGTATGAGAGACGAAGTTTGGCCATCTTGGCTTCTAAGGAGTATTCTGGTTGTATTTCTTCTAACACAGTTCTGGCAGTCCATGGTAGTATTCTCCAAATGCATCAGTTCGTCTCTGTCTTCCTTATTCACTGTCCAACTTTCACCTGCATATGAGGCTATTCTCTTGAGCTATTTCAAGATATCTTGTGCAGCAGATAAGCCTACGGTAATATGTCGTCGTTTGATTTCTCTACTGATGCTTCCATAAGTGTTGATAGTGGAGCCAAGCAAAATGAAGTCTTTGACAATCTCATTCATATCTCCATTTAACAGATGCTATTGATTGGTCTAGTGGTGAGGATTTTTGTTTTCTTTACACTGAGGTGCAACCCATACTGAAGGTTGTGTTCTTTGATCTTCCATCAGGAAATATTTTGAGTCCTCTTGGCTTTCAGCAAGCAGATGTTAATGAGTCTTCTCCCAATCCTGATGCCAGGTTCTTCTTCATATAATCTAGTTTCTTAGATTATTTGTTCAGCATACAAATTGAATAAGTATGGTGAAAGAATACAACCCTGGCTCACACCTTTCCCAATTTTAAACCAATCTGTTCAAATTACTGCCTCTTGGTCTATCTGCAGCTTCCTCATGAGCACAATGAAGTGTTCTGGAATACTCATTCTCCAAAATGTTGCCCATAGCTTGTCATGATCCCACAAAGTTAAAACCCTTTTCATAGTCAATAAAGCACAAGTAAATGTCTTTCTGGTATTCTCTGCCTCCAGTCATGATCCATTTGACATCAGCAATGACATAGTCCCAAATGAGAGCATCATATAGGAACCCAATATGTTCAAATGTGAAATGCATAAACATTAGAAAGTGAACAGCATTTTCGGCCAAGTATGGTGGATTTTAAAGAATGTAACAATGTTATAAGTGCCTTAGTATTTAGTCTGATTCCTACTCCTCAGTTGATTTTTGGTTTCTTAACAGGATTTCATGTAAACAATTTAGGTTGATTTTTTTTGCTCTTTTACTACTTTTACCCAGATTCCAGATATACATGTACTCACATTCCAGTTTTCTACTTTCCCAATTTTCCTCCTGCCCTGTCTTGTATCAGATGTGGAATGTTAGAAATACTGTGAGCATAAAAGTAAACCATGATAGTAGCGGTGGTGGTATGCCATGGAGTAGGTTCTGATTCATAGCGGCCATGCATAGGGTTTCCAAGGCGGTAAATCTTTAAAGGAGCAGAAAGCCTCATCTTTCTCCTCTGGAACAGCTGGTAGTTTCTAACTGCAGACCTTGAGGTTAGCAGCCCAACTTGTAACCACTACGCTACCAGAGCTCCTTAAAAGTAAGCAATATATCATCAATATTTATGATCACAGCTAAAGAAAAGAGAGATAATGCTAGAGAAATAGAGAAGGAAGAATGTAAGAGCAATGTTCTTCAGAAAGTAGTGAAATATACCCATCAGCAGTTGCATTTATAGTGTACTGTGACCCGACAGGACATAGTAGAACTGCTTCCACAGAGTTTGGTAGGCTCAGTGCATAGAATGAGCAATGTTGTGGCTTTTGATTACACACGATGGACAAAACACAGACATACACTTGACTGCCTCATGAAACTTCATAAAAATGTGTGTAAAAGAACAACAAAAAAGAAATAAATCCGGAAAGAGATTGGCAGAGAAGACAGCAACAGATAGTATATAACATACTTTTGGAAGGTTAAAATTGAACAGAAGGAGTATCAGGAAGGAAATACAATTAATAAAGTCTCTTCATGCACAGAAAAAAACTATAAAAGCAAAAAAATTATTTCTACTGTAAGAAATAAGAAAGAAAGAGATGAGGAGAGAGACTTGGCTTCAACAGGAGGCAGGTTTATTGAGAGTAAACCTGGGAGGGGGCACTCAAAGTCAAGAGAGACCAAGAGCCCACCTGTTCCTTACAGACCGAGGTATTTAAGGCGGTGTGGTCCTGGGTACAGTTCTGGTGAGTTTCCAATGGGCGACATTATGGAGATTTACCTGAACCCTGAAACTACGGGGTGGTGGTGGTGGTGGTGGTGGTGGTGGTGTCTTTATTCGGTGCCACTTGGGGACAGCTGCAATGCCATTTTGTTTGTCAGGCGCAGGGTCCTTCATTCACACAACCTAAAAAGTCTTGGACATTGTAGTCCCTGTTACTGTGAGGCTGAGATAAGAGTTGTTGTTGTTGTTAAGTGCCGTCGAGTCGGTTCCGACCCATAGCGACCCTGTAATGGGGCTAAATATTGGTTGAAATTCTTTATAAAGAGCAGTTAGACCTCCAGGGGAAATCCCGTCTCTGCAGTTGGGTAACTACTCTTCCTCAGAGGGTTCCCAATGTGGATGGCTAAGGGCAAGAGAGAAGTGAGATACTGAGATCCCTCATCCCTTCCACTGCTTTACAATGGAAAATACGGGCAACAGTTGTTATTGCTCTGCCTTCCCTTTTTTCCCAAAGAAGGCAATTGCTGGATTCTTCTTTAAGGAAATACAGTTTCAGAGAAAAACCCCACAGATACTGACATCTGAGGGTTCCCCAACAAAATGGTTACTCCTTTCATGATCACTGCACAAGGAAGTTCACTGGGAACTGAAACCTCCTAGTATTCACTCTTAAATAGGATTGGACAGCCAAAGATCACTAGACATGTAGGAAAAACCCCCTCCGATGTGAAAGGCGGAAACCAAAGCAAACAGAAAAAAGAGAACTTGCGGGAAATATAGACAATTCAAAGAACATAAAGATATTTATCACAGCTGTATTCTTACTGAAATGAAGGTAATTGCATCTATGAAAAAAAAATAGGCACATAAAAAAGATCCAAAGCCAAGAAAAAAGCTCATAAATAAATAAACTCCTAGAAAATAATAATAATTAAAATTTTAATGTAATTAAATGATTATAATTAGAGGAAATTTCTCCAAAAATAGACAAAAATGAGAGAAAGAAATGAAGATACGGAGAAAAGAGTAAGAATATGAAGTCTATTCTGAGATGCTGAGTATCTGATTAATGAAATGGTCATTGTTGTTGTTGTTAAGTACCATCAAGTTGATCCCTACCCATAATGACCCTGTATAGGGTTTCCAAGGAACATCTGGTGAGCTTGACTTCCGACCTTGCAGTTCAAACGGCTTTGCAGTTTGGTGCATTAACCCACAGAACTCCAATGAGGTCATTAGAAGAGAACTAAAAGAAATGGAAAGGAGAAAATCAGAAAGTCAATTAAAATGTGTTAAAATGACAAACCAAGAAACAACCACAAAAGTATATTTTAAGAAGATGGAAGTAAATGACAAAAGAAATCTAAAAGAGTTGAAAAACATTTGCTTCTTAGGGTTCAGACCCCTGACTGCTGATTTTTGTTACAGGTCTTGTATTTGACTTTTAAAACTAGGCTTCTCCCTTACTCTGATAATTTTTTTTAAACTGAAGAATTTTGAGGTTAATCATTTTTCTCTTTTTTTATATAGCACAAAAGCAAGAAGAGGCTTTACTAAGAAACAGCATTGCTCAGTTTACAAGAGATGTTTCAAGATGTGTTCGTCACATGGTAAAGGGTCACTGTGGTTCTTTTTCTTTCTTTGATTAGAATGCTGTTACATACAGACAGTAGCAACTTAGTTATCTGGCACTATTGGAGGCTTTAGGAAATTCACATTAAGTTAACCCTTTTAATACGTGTTGCTGTTGTTGTGTATTATCGAGTCAGTTCCAACTCATATAGGGTTTCCAAGAGCAGTTGGTGGGTTTGAACTGCTGACCCAGTGGCTAGCACAGTTAGCAGCCCAGTGCTTATACTATAGCAAAGATAACTTTTAATATATTGTGGGTGTAGAGAAATTGGAAGGGAAAATTAAATGTATAATATACTTACAGCTTTTCCTAACAAGACACGAATGATAATAATGATTGTACAATAAAGAGCATTTGATCTATAACAGTATGATAGCTGATAACTAAATAGTTCTGTTGAGAATTCTGAAAAATTCTTAAAGCAGTATCTTTCCTTCAAGAAATATTAAATCCTCCCCCCAAAAGAAATATTAAATCCTCCCTTGAAAGTCTTAATTAATTCTCCCATTTCTTCTTGCTTGGGCTAGACAGTTGTTTATATCTCATTCATAGTATATTCTGTTTTATGAAGTTGTCTCAATGCCTGGGGTCCTTCATGCACCTCTTTCCCAGGCACCATGAATTGGTATCCCTGAATCAGTTTTGCTGTTGTTAAGTACCGTCGATTCGGTTCCGATTCATAGTGACCCTGTGTATGGTTTCTGAGGAGTGGCTGGTGGGTTTGACCCACCAAGCTTGCGGTCCAAACAGACCTTGCTGTCAAGTACATTATCCTGCAGCACCATACCACCTTTGGAGTTTAATAAAAATTAAAATGATAATTTTGGAAGAAGATGCCCATAACCTCTACTAGATGCTTCAGGAATGAATTAGAAGACCTCTCTAAATATGGTCCAGGCAATGGACACTTGCTCATTGGTGCTTTGTTTGTTGAACTCTGAGATAATTCTGGATTTTATGTCTGAGCAGGATAACGTGAAGCAAGAAGCAAGCTATTTCCGAGAACAAGAAAGCATGAAACTCAAAGATCATTTTGAAATTCTAAAGAACTTAGAAAAAGAAATCTATGTACATGACCAAAAAACAGAACTTTTGCTCATGGAAAATAGAAGATTAAAAGCAGTAAGTTCAACAGCATCGCACTTCACAAATTGGTTATGATTTAATCTTCTAGGCCTATGTTGTTGTTGTTGTTGTTAAGTGCCGTTGAGTCAGTTCCGACCCATAGTGACCCGGTACAGGGTTTCCGAGGGTGTAAATCTTCACGGGAGTAGAAAGCCTCATCTTTCTCCCGCGGAGCAGCTGGTAGTTTCGAACCGCTGACCTTAAGGTTCACAGCCTGATTCGTAACCACTACGCTACCAGAGCTCCTATAGTAATTATGAAAGAAAAGGAAAGAGTAGCTCTTAACATTTTTGATGGGACATAAAGTACATCCAATTCATAAATGTACAGTTCAATGAATGTACCTGTGTAATGAACTCACAGGTTAATAATTGGGTATCCTATGGTATAGACTGGTTTTGTGTCAAAGCCCCCACTCTCATGCATTGGGGGCTGGTGAGGAGCAGGACTATCTATCCATTGGCAGTTTGTTATTGTTCTTAGATACTATGGAGTCCATTCAGTTTCTTATAGTGGAGGGCCTAGGTCTTCCTTTCTAGAATCAGAAATGAAAGAGTAGACATTACTGCTAACCAGACAGAAAAATAAAAGAAAATAAAGGAATACAGATCCTGTGCCACATAATATCTACTAGAGCAACCACCAACTGCATATATGTTCATGCTTCCAAAAGGTTACAGTAGTTCAGAAATTCCAGTCTGGAGAATGAGATATAGAGGACAGACCTACTTTGCTAAGTACTATAGCTCCTGTCTGTGTCTCACTAGTTCTCCAGTGGTCAGCATCTGTGACCGTGGGCCACAACAATAGCCCAAGAGGCAGCAGATTTAAAAAAAATATGAAAGTAATCAGCAGTGTCAAATGCAGCAAACTGACTGTGGTTCAGTGAACTATTTGATGCCTCTTCTAGCTATAGTCTTCAAGTGGTTGTGATGCTCAAGTGCTATTTGAATCTGTTCTGACTTATATTGACCCTGTTAAGGAGTTCCAAGGAGCTGCTAGTGGGTTTGAATCACCAACTTTGCAGTTAGCAGTCCAGTGCTTATCCTACAGCACCACAACTGAACTCCCTTGAGTGGTAAACAGAATTCTTGTGATTGTAAAAACTTGAAACTCTAACCTTGGTATAAAATGAACCATCTCATGGAGGCAGAGATGAGGACAGGGAGAGATGGAGTGTCTGGGGACGCTAGACTCAAGGAGGGAGAGGGGCTGTGTGCTGGTGGCTCGGGGGCAGGCTTGCAGGGTATGCCTTTTGGTTGTTAGAATGGTTATATATTCCTGAGTACTTCAGTATAAATAAACAACAACAACAACAACAACAACCCAGAGGGAATGGAAGCAAATGCTTTTGAATGATGATGCATGGAAGGGATTGTAATGTTTCTTGCTATGTCATGTAAACACACAGAACTTCACTTAAAGCTCTTTTGAACTAAGCAAATTATTTTTCAAGCATGAGGAACTGCTTAGTAAAATGAGGGGATTTTGCCAACAATTGTTAAATAAGAGTGACAGTTACCAATGTTACCTTTGGGCCAAGCACAAGTGCCCCACTTCCTCTCCCATTTCAGACTCTCATCAAACTTGGGGTAGGGGAGGGAGTCACCAGAAAAAAGACGCTGATGTGGCGCTGTGGGCTATTGCTCTGGACTGCAAAGCCAATTTGAACCACAAGGTCGACCAACTCAACAGCACTTAACAACAAGAATGGTGTGTGGTAAACAATTCCTTGGATCATGTCAGCATTGACTGAATGAGGCAGACTTATATACATTCTGGTTTGTATATAAGCCTAATATAAAGACATACAAATGTACAAAAATTACTTTTTTTTCCCTAGAAACTTGCATAAACGATTCCCTTTTAGTACAAATTGAAGTATTAGTATATCAAAATGAAAGTGTCATTTACTGAGAACATATCTGAGGACAGTGAATTTACTAGAGATATTTGCTAATGGACAGGCTTTGAAATTTCATTTTGAAGAGTTTTTTAAAGCCTTTTAGTTAGAATAATTATAGATTTGCAAAACAAAATGTACAGGGAGATTTGATGTAGTCTTTGCCCACTTTTTCCTAATGGTAGCATTTTATGTACAATATTAAAAAATTAGCATTGGTACAATCCACAGAGTTTACTCAGATTTCACATTTATGTGTGTGTATCTATTATATAGCAACACTTATGAAGCAGCAGTCAAGATATCAGACAACATATTGTATTAGGCAGATCTGCTGCACAAGACCTCTTTAAAGTGTTCAAGAACAAAGTTGTCAGTATGAAGACTAAGGTGTGCCTGACCTAAGCCGTAGTAATTTCAATAACCTCATATGAATATGAATGTTGGACAGTGAATAAGGAATACCAGAGAACAATCTATGCATTTGAATTATGGTGCTGGAGAAGAATATTAAAAGTACCATGGCCTGCCTGAAGAACAAACAACTCTGTACTGGAAGAAATACAACCAGAGTGCACCTTAGAAGCCAGGATGGTGAGACTTCATCGCTCATATTTTGGACGTATTATCACAAGGGTCCTGTTCCTGGAGAAGGACATAATGCTTGGTAATGTGAAGTGTCTGTCAGCCAAAAAGAGGGAGACCCCAGTGAGATGGACTGACACACTACCAGCAGCAATGGGTTCAATTGTAACAATTGTGAGGCTGGCACAGAACCAGGCAGTGGTTCATTCTGTTGTGCATAAGGTTGCTATGAGTTGAAACCGACTCAACAGCACCTAACAGCAATAACAACATGTGTTCTATAATATTCTATTATGTAACTTTGGTCATTTCTAAAGGCAAATGTTGTTGTTGTTGTAATGTGCTGTGGAGTTGGTTCCAACTCATAGCGACCCTGTATAGGGTTTCTGAGGCTGTAAATCTTTATGGGAGCTGAAAGCCTCATTTTTCTCCCACAGAACAGCTGGTAGTTTTGAACTGCTGTAGAGAACAGAAAAGCTTGGTGGTCAGTTGAACACAGTTTTGTTTATTCTATTTACCTGAAGTCAGTAATAATTGTTTTTAAAATCCTATAAGAAATCTAAAACTGGCCAGGATTAATTTGGGCATTTGCAAGAAGTTGTGTCTGATGTTTACTCAAAGAGCAAAAAGACTCTCCCACCTATGTTATGATGGTCTTATTCCATAGACGAACAGGAACATTGTGTGTTCCAAACATAAAGCCATGACCTTAATACCATACTTAAAATACACTACCATCACTGAAGCCACTACCACTACATCATCTAACCCAAGGAAACATCCTCGTGACCCTGTCCATCATCTCTCTGAGATCTTACTCTGAACTCCAGTCTGGCAGCATTACTGCTTTGTGACGTTTTGCCTAAGGAAAATTTTTGGTGTGGAAGCAATGCATTCAGGCAGGACACCATTTAATTTTGTCAGTGGGAAATTATATTCAAAATGTTATATTTATTTGGGTGGTGAAAAGTTTAATAGGAAGCAGCATACTTTATATCCTTTTTAGGATTACAAATGTAACCAGGGCATGTTTTGCTCACCATTGTAACCCATGCACCTAGAACAGCAGCTGGCTCAGAATAGGACTCAAGAGATACTTGCTAAATGATTAAATGGATAATTAATCTGTAGTAATTAGACTAATGAAAGCAATCCCATGCCTTTAATTTTCAGTATATTTCATACCTGAAGAAAAAGACAGAGGAATACTTAAAAAAAGAAGAAAGACTCACCTATATCTCAAGTAACCAGTCTTGGGAGTTGATAGCTAGGCAGAGTAAGTAATGTGTCACGGGAGGATTTATTTTTTATTGCTTTCTTCCTCTTAATCAATTTTATTGATTTGCATAGAACAAAATAATTCAGTTCAGTGAGTTTCAACAACAATGCTGGAAGCACTATCACCATCACCACAAATAAGATTTAAGGCATTTCATCGCCCCCAAATGACCTTTGTCTCTCTCCCCACTTCCAGTTTCTGCCATCCATGCATCTGGATTCTCTAGTCGTTATAGATAGAATCAGAATGATAGAATGTGCATACTCTTGTACCTGGCTTCTTTCATTCTGCAAAATGTTTTTGTTGTTTTTAAGATTCTTCTGTGTTGCTGTATGTATCGTTAATTGGTTCCCTTTTTGCAGCGATATGGAGTCCTGGTGTGGCACTGTAGGATAATCATTGGACTTTAAGGTCTGTTTGAACCTCAAGAACAGAGGTTCAAACTCACCAGCCACTCCTTGGAAACCCTATACAGGGTCGCTATGAGAAGGAACCGACTCCACAGCACTTAACAACAATAGTAGTATTCTATGCTATGGATATATCATATTTTCATTGTTCATTCACCAGCTGAAGGGCATTTAGATTGCTTTCAGTTTGGGTTATTATCAACCTTTGTATGCAAGTATTTTTTGCAGATATATATTTTCACATTTCGTACATAAATACATAGCAGTAAATTGCTGGGTCACCTGGGTAGTGTCTTGGTGTGGCACTGTAAAATTAGCACTGAACTGCTAACTGCAAGGTGAGTAGTTCAAACCCACCAGTCACTCCTAGGAAATCCTATACCAGGTCACTATAAGACAATGAGTTGGAACTGACTTAATAGCACTTAACAACAACAACATGGTTAATGTATATTTAACTTTGGAGAAACTATCAGGTTGCCAAAGTGGTGGTACAAATGTATCATCTCATGAGCATGTACTCATATGAGAATTCTTATTATTCCATATCCTCACTAACACTTAATATTGCCAGTTCTTTTAATTTTAGCCATTTTAATAGATATGTAACGGTATTTCATTGTTGATTTAATTTGTATTTTCCTCGTGACTGACATCAAGCATCTTTGCACATGCATTTTGATCATTTGTTTAAGATCTTTTATGAAGTCCTTTGAGCCAGTTCTCTATAGCAGCATTAGAAATATTACAAATTTACTGTCTTATGACAAATCATTTATTTTGTTCACAAATTGGCAGTTTGGGCAGAGCTTGCTAGAAAAACCTCACGTCAGTTCAATATGGCTTCAGCTGAGACAACTTGAGGACTGGCGGTAATTCAACAGCTGGGGACTGAGGTCATCCAAAGACTGACTCACTCACATGTCTGGTGTTGGTGTTAGCTGTCAGCTGGACCTCAGGAAGACTGTTGACTTCCTTATGTAGCTGTTTGGTTGATAGGGTTCCAAGAGCAAGCATCCCAAAAGAACAAATTGAAAATTCATGGCATTTTTATGGCCTAACCTTGACAGAGTGTTACTTCCACCATACATTAGTGGTCAAGGCAGTTGCCAAGTTAAAAGGGGAGGGGGCATAGACCTCACCACATGGGGGGGACTACCAGCACCGTGTTAGGAGAAGAACTTGTGAACTGGAATATATTGTGAGGCTATCTTTGAAAACTATAATAAGTCACATGTCTGTTCAAGTCTGTGCTTATTACTTTGTGTTGTTTATGTGTTTATTGCTCTGTTAAAATGAGTTCTCTATGTATTCTAGAAACAAGTATTTGTTAGTCTGTGTCTTGACTTTTCATTTTCCTAATGATGTCATTATTAAGGAGTCTTGGTGGTGCTGTGGACTAAGCACTGGGCTGCTAACTACCTACAAGGCCGTAGCTTAAAGCCACCAGCGACTCCGCAGGAGATAGATAACTGGGGTTATCTGTTCTCGCAAAGACATATAGAAATCTCTGAAACCCTATGTAGGGTCACAAGGAGTCAGAGTCACCTTAATGGCAGTGGGTTTATTGTTTTTGTTTGGAGGTGGTTTTTTTGTTTTGTTTTTAATGATGTCATTAAAAGAACAACAAAAAAAAATTCTTTAGATGAAGTCTTTTAGGGTAAAGTCTATTTTGTCTTTAAGGCTGGGCATTTTTTGTGTGTTCTAAGACATTTTTTTTTTTCTACCCCAAGGTCTTGATGATTTTCTCATCTGTTTTAGTTTTAGCTTTGATGTTAAGGTCTCTGGTTCATTCCAACTCAACTTTTTGTGTGATTTGAACTAAGAGTTCAATTTAATTTTTTTCCATGTAAATATCCAGTTGTTCAGGCACCATTTTTTAAAAGACTAACCCTTCACTATTGTACTATATAAGACAGTTTTTCCAAAATCGATTTTATGACTTTATTCCTTTATTAAGGAACTTTGGTGGTGCAATAACTAAGCCTGTATCAAGACGGCTGGAGGTTCAAACCCAGCCAGTGACTCCATGGGAGAAAGACCTGACCATCTACTCCCCAAAACATTAGTCTAGAAAACCCTATAGAGCAGACAGATATAGCCTATTCTATTACATATAACACACCCATTTAAACAACACTGACACATATAACACACATTCATAATGACCACAGCATACATAGGAATCTAACAACATTGAGTCTTCCAATCCAAGAACATGGTCTATATCTCCATTGATTTAGAGCTGCTTTAATTTCTCTCAGCAGTGTTTTCCAGTTTTTAATAATGATGTCAAGAATCCCTAACACTATCCTCAAGCTCAGTGATTCACTAGAAGGACTCATAGTACTTGTTGTTGTTGTCAGATGTCGTTGAGTTGGTGTCGACAAAACATGTCCCGTCCTGTGCTGACCTCACAATCATTGCTACACTTGAGCCCATTGCTGTTGCGATTGTGCCAATCCATCTCGTTGGAGGGTGGGGATCTTCCTTTTTTTCCACTGATCTTTCACTTTACCAAACATGATGTCCTTCTCCAGGGACTGGTCCCTCCTGCTAATATGTGCAAAGTATGAGAGACGAAGTTTGGCCATCCTGACTTCTAAGGAGCATTCTGGCTGTACTTCTTCCAAAACAGATTTATTTATTCTTTTAGCAGGTCATGGTACTTTTATTATTCTTCTCCAGCACTGTAACTCAAATGCATCAATTCTTCTATGGTCTTCTTTATTCACTGTCCAACTTTCATATGCGTATGAGGTTATTAAAAATACCATGGCTTGGGTCAGGTGCATCTTAGTGCTCAAACTGATAGCTTTGCTCTTTTAAGAGGTCTTGGAAGTTGTTATATTCATGATTATGGAATATCACTGCACAAGATCTAGAGTAAAATCATCAAAGGAAAGGCACATAGGATGAAGCTCAGACGAAGCCAGGTGCAAGCTTCCATATGTGGAGTCACACAAATGTGCTTCATTTCCCTAGCAGTGGAATATGACAACATGGACCAAATGTTTCAAGTCAAGAATGTTCACCTGGGCTTGGGTGTCTGTTGTATTTGTTGGGAGTCAGTCACATAGACTCTATCTCCTATGTGACAAGCTACAGTTACTCACACTTGAGACCCCTAGAAAGAAAGCAGGTGTTTACCATAAATCACAATATTAGCATTAGCTGTCTACACAGTCTGGTATTGTTTGACTCAAGGCCTCAGGCATGCAAAAACACTCTTATCAGACTGAATATTTCAAGAGCTCAGTTCTCCAGAATCAGCAAAGGGCCAGTCCAAAAACAGGCCATTCTGGGGAATGTGCAGAATTGAGCAACTGAGGCCTTCTGCGTTAACCCTTTTCTTTTGTACACGTGTATAGGTATTACATATATTTTGTTAAATTTATTTAGTGTTTTTTCGCCTTTAATTCCATTTCAAATTGAGCTATTATGTTTCCCTTAGCTCTAGTCACTTCTTTGTAGATCTCTTAGGACTTTTTATATAATTGTATCTTCAAATAAAACCAATTTTGCATGCTTTTTCATATCTTGTTGTTGTTGTTAAGTGCCATCGAGTCGGTTCCGACCCATCTTACTCTTGCCTTATTGCATTAACCCAAACCTCCTCATATAGTACTAAATCGAAGCAATGAGAGAAAACCTTATTGCCTGATTCCTACTTTTAGGGGGAAATATTCAGTCTTTTACCAGAAAATATGATGTAAACTGTAGGTTTTTTTATAGATCCCCTTCACCAGGTTGAGGAAGTGCCTTTCTATTCTGAGTTTCCTGAGAGTTTTAATCATGAAAAAGTGTCGAATGGTCACTTTCTCTGCGTCTATTGAGAAGATCATACAGTTGATCTTTATTCTATGATAGATTGTGTTGGTTCAGCCTCCCATCCCTTGTGTGGAACTCAATTGTCAGAAGTTATTATCATTTTTGATTATTGCTGCCTTCAATTCGCTAATATTTCGTATAGACTTTGTGGCTGTGAGCAAATCTGGGGGCACTGTTTGGGGATACACTTCATTCTCTGTGATCTGGAACGTATCTGTACCAGAAGGCAGCTATCCCAACACTGTTCTACTCATCTTCCAGCTTCTGGAAACTTCTGTTTCATAGACCTCTTACCTTTGTCTACTTGCTTATAGAGGCAGAGCAAGTTTGATCCATTTATTCTACCAATTCAGGAAGTTGACAATTTTACATAAAAACCAGCTTTTGAAAGACAAAAGCAAACAACCTTACTTTTATGAAAATGTTCAAATTGTTTCAGTAATCTTTGCATCTCTAAAATCTTTATTTTAGCCCAGTACATGGATTTGTGGACAGAATTTCGTGCCTCAACTAAGGTGAGTTTTGTTTTGTTTTTTTCTTTAATTTGTATGTTGCTTCCATAGGTATATTATTTCTTAAAATGCTCCCCTACCTAGTATGTGTGTGTGTGCAAAGGGTAGTGACAGAGTTGGTGTGACCATCACATCCTAAAATGTGTCTGTACAAAACTCACTGTGGGAAACTGTCTTCCTACTCTACCACTTCAGCTAAAGTGAACATGACATCCCGCATCCCCCATCCCCCAAATCAAATTGAGCACATTTTGTTTTAGGATAAAGTTGTTCAGTTCTGAACTCAATTTTCATTCATGCTTTACCAGTCATGAAAGCCTCTGCAATACCCCCCACTTTAGAGTCAAGTGGGCTGGAGTTTAAGTCCTGGTTCTGCCACTTTATAAACATTTACAGATTGGATCCAATTATTGGCTAACACTTCAGACACTGAATATAGAAGATTTGGTAATGACTTTTTCGTATGAAGCTACAGATTTAAGTCACTTGCCCCAAACCTGACATTTGATGAACTTCAAAGGATTTCAACCTCAGATCCCGCCCACTCCTGAGTTCCTCTTAAGCTGTAAGCCATGATGTAAGCAACTCTGGGCTGCTCTGAGGGTGAACTGGCTTCTATATTACAACCACTGCCACCACCACCACAACTACCACCACCCTATCCCATGAGCTTGCCATTAAATCTTCTCATTTGTCTGAGCTCTTTCCTGGAACCTTATATATTTGTACATACACACATTTTGCATGCTGAATATCATCAACTGTCAGGAATCTTGATGAACTGCATTGTCTTAGAGAAAATAATTCACCAACAATGAACATACAGGAGTCCTGGTATCGTGCTGTGGGTTAATGTACTGGACTGCAAAGTTGGTTTGATCTGCAAGGTTGGCAGTTCAAGCTCACCAGCCACTCAAAAGCCCTATACAGGGTCACTAAGGGTTGGAACTGATTCAGTGGCACTTAACAATAACCAACAATTTTGCATGTATAATGTCTTTGTTTTGAACATAAGCTACTAAGTCAGAATGATTTTATTTAGTTAAATTTATACTTACACACCCAAAATTGCCATTTCCCCCCCCAGGAATTTGTGAATAATGGTACAGAGATGATGAAAGAAATAAACAGTCTCATAGAAAAGCTGGCTAAAAGAGATGGAAAACTTGAAAGTATCAGTACTTGGCTACAAGGGAATCTTGATGAAGTGCGCAGTCTTAGAGAAAACAAGTCACAAGCAAATCTCGGTAAACATCTCAATGTTTGGTAGCATAAAACTTCCTGCTTTCACTGTGGTTGGGGAAATCAAAAAGAGGAAAGAAATAAAAAGCCAACTAAACGGCTTACGAATCTGTCTACAGCAACATCACAAACATGCAACTGAATACTCAGACTCAGTCACAGGGTTGAATATGATGGTTGGCCCTTTCCCCTTCTGCATGAGTTTTGTAGATAGTTAAATTTTAACTTCATGAGTGTTCTTTTCAAACTCTCATTGTAAACATTTTCCAAGTAAGTCTTTTAAAACTCGTTTACAGATAACTCTGCCTTCTTAAATACATAATAATGAACATAATTTTACCTGTTCTTCCGATGGTAGGATTAGGGTTATTAAGTGTTGCCTTTTCTGACAATCTAGCGATGCTTTCTGGGACTTTTGATATATTACACGTCCTAACATACTTACCTCATGAGCAAGCAGCCTAGTTTTCCAGAGGGATATCAACTTCATCTTCACTCCCTGTTTAAAATTGTTTCAGCTATAAGGGGCCACAAAACTGTAAGATGTCGAGGTGAAGATTTCACAGGTACAGCCCAGAGCTCCCAGGGGCAGAGTCACTTGGCAAAGTATGGAGCTGGGAGTTGGGAAATGGTGTTGATTAAATGTTGTTGTTGGTAAGTGCTGTGGAGTAGGTTCTGACTCATAGCGTCCCTGTGAGTGTAGGGTTTCTGAGGAGTGTCTGGTGAGCTTGAACTGCCAACCTTGCAGTTCAAACTGACATTGCAGTCCAGCACATTAACCCACAGCACCACACCAGGACTCCATATAGATTAAATATGCCTTCTAAAAACATATGTTGATGTCATAACTCCCAGTAGTTAAGAACCTAATCTCATTTGAAATCGGGTCTTCGAAGATGTTATTACTGAAGTTAACATGAGGTCAGACTAGAAGTCAGGTGGGTTCTAATCCAATAGAATAACGGTCCTTGTAAAAGAGGAGAAAATGTGTGTCACTGTGGGATAAGCACTTGACTGCAAAGTTGGTTTGAATTGCGAGGTTAGCAGTTCAAACTCATCAACCGCTCCTTGGAAACCCTATAGAAGGTCGCTATAAAGTGGTACCAACTCAGTGGCACTTAACAACAACAACACTGGAAGCTAGGTGAGAGATAAGGAAAAGATTCTCCCTCAGAGCCCTTCAGAAAGAACAACCTTGCCAACAGTCTAATAATCAAAATTTCAGTCTCCATCATTGGGAGACAATACATTTCTATTCTCGTAAGCATTCCAACTTGTAATAAATTGTTACAGCAACCCTAGGGAACTAATACAGATGCTGGTGCCAGAAAATGGGGTTCTGTTGTAACAAATACCTAAAAATGTAAAAGTGGCTTTGGAATTGGATAATGGGTAGAGGCTGTAACAGTTCTGAGGTATCTGATAGGAAAAACCTAGATTATCTTGAAAAGATTGTTGGATGGATTATGGATGTTAAAGGGAATTTTGGTGAGGGTAGTTTGTGGGGCAGGGAACTGAGGAGAGTTGTTAGAGAAAATGTCTATCCTCTTTGAGAATGTTAACAGAATGCTGCTAGAACTGTGGACATTAAACCTTCTGGTGTGATCTTAAAATGAAATGATGAATATTATTGGTCACTTGAGAAAAGATGGTCCGTGTTATAAAGTACTTGAGAATTTGGCTGAATTAGGTTCTAATGTTTTGTGGAAAGTAGAACTTGTAAGTGATCAATTTGGATATTAACTGAGGAGATTTCTAAGCAAAGTACTTAGAAAGGTGCATCCTGGTTCTTCCTCAATGATTATAGTAACATTTAAAGAAAAGACGCTAATGCAGAAAAGAACCAGAATTTGAAGATGTGGAAAATGATCAGCCTATCTATACGATAAGCACTGGATTGCGAACCAGTCACTCTCTGGGTAAAAGATGAGGCTTTCCGATCCCACAAAGATGTAAAGACTCTGAAACCCCATACAGGGAGGTTCACTATTAGCCAGAACAGATTTGATGATACTTTAACAACAACAACTACATTTGTGCATTTGTGGCTCACACCTCAGCCTAAAACATTTTTTAAATAAAGGAATATGAAAGTTTGTTGACAGATGAACAAAGTGTATTAAAAAGCAAGGAGCGATTATGTCAAAAAATGGTGCATTTGGATTTTCTAAAAAGTTGATTCAACTAAATTCATGTCCAAGTGCAGATAATTTTTGACTCACCCTTGTATCTTTAGTCAATAGTAGATCATTGGTCAGAAGAATTCTAACTTTAAAATATTACTATTACTTGCAGCCCCTGAAGGTTGCTTTGAATCGCTTTGGTTTTGGTTTGGTAACCACTGAAGTCCTGATAAATGTTGTTGTTATGTGCCATTGAGTCAATTCTGACCCATAGCGACCCGGTATGGGGTTTCCAAGGAACAGCTGGTAAGCTTACCGTTCAAACAACTTTGCAGTATGACACATTAGCCCACAGCGCCACACCAGGACTCCGTTGATAAATGGACATTGATACATGTACACACTCATATTGGTTCTTGAAATTTCTCCAGCTTATCAGGTTCAAGCCTGTTTCACTATTAACTCTAAAACTACATTCAACAATAATTTATTGAGCACCTATCCTGTGCCAAGCACCATGCTAGGCAGTGAGGTTACAATGATAAATGAAAGCAGAGTCCCTGCCAATGTGCAACTCACAGTGTAGTACTTTCTCTGTAAAAGGCTAGATCTCCTTTTGGCTTTGCCAGCTGGAGTCTCTGTAGAAAATACTCAGTTCTGCCACAGTGATAGATTCATCCCACCAGTTGTAATTTGCTCACTTGTCTAGTGGGAGAATCAACTATCATACAAGCATGTGAACAATTCTAAATGTTGGAAGTGTGTTGTAGGTGGAGCACAAGAATTATGAGGGTAACCTGTTAGAGGGAGACCTGAGCTGATTAGGGAGTCAGGGGAGAGGTTCTGAAGAAGTGGAAATCAAATTGAGATCTTCAAGGTCTCTAGTTTCTCTTCCTAGCTACACTTATTTCTACTCTTGTGGCACAAAGAGGACTCTGGAGCAAGGTGATCCTGGGCCCAAATCCCAGCTCTGCTTCTTATATAGTATTTAGTCTCGGCGCCTCAGTTTTTCCCTGGTTGTAGAATATGGTTAATATCCAAATTAGGGATCACAAAGCATCAGACCTGCTGTTAGATGTTGCTGACAACACAATGAGACACGGTCAGGTCCCACACCATCCTCACAATCCCTGCTCTGCTTGAGCCCATTGCTGTAGTCACTGCGCTCATCCATCTTGGTGGGGGGGGGGGGGGAGAGTGGTATTCCATTTATCGCTGACCCTCCACTTTACCAAGCATGATGTCCTTCTCCAGGGACTGATCCTTCTTGATAACATGTCCACAGTGTGAGACAAACTCTCACCATCCTCCCTTCTCAGATACATTTTGTAGGTACTTCTTCCAAGACAGATTTGTCTGTTCTTCTGGCAATTTGTACTATAGTCTATATTCTTAACCAATACCGTAATTCAAAAGCATTGATTTTTTTCAGTCTTCCTTATTCTAAGGGGCACTCGTTAGCTCCCTGAAATCAACCACAATAGTAGTAAAGCATCAATTAGTCTCTTGAATGAGCTGACCTTCTGAGCTGTCTGTAATCTCCTAGTGTTTGAATGTTCCCTATTGAATTTGTTCTCCCACAGTGCTTCCCCTACTTAACAGCTCTCTCCTGCCCTCTCTGGACACAGTAAGTCACTGCAGTCCTGCAGGGCTGATCAGCAATCCTGAGTTTGGCACTACAGCTTCATGAACATTGATCACCTTTGTACCCAGTACTATAGCAAATGTTGCAGTTACAAAGTTGGATAAGATCCAGTCCCTGAACCTCAAGGTACACACACTGAAAAGCAGACAAGCGAGGAGACAACACAATGGGTAAAGAGAGACCTTTAAGTCTAACTGGGTGTTAGGAATATGCAGAGATGAAGCTAATACACTTTGAGTTACCTGGTTGAGAGTCTGGTGAGGACTCCACTTGGCAAGAGTATGGGATATATTTGTCAATATATGAAATACCAGATTTGATCCTGAAAACTAAGATGATTGCTCTTTGCCTTTTCTTTCTTGAAAACAATTAATTCTTTGTTCATATCTAAACCATATAGTAATATAGTACAGATTTAAGTATTAAAAATAATTTTGTCTTAAAGTTACAAAAATCCTTGTGTATTATACAATTAGTTATAACATATATCAACTGAATGCCTTTGTTATAGTCTACAAGAGGCTTTTTAGAACAAGAGATATTTTAAATTAAGATCAAATAATAATTTTCTATAATTACTATATTTGTGTTATTGTGATGAAAAAAGATACGTTTTATTTTTATAGTTTTGTTTTGTTCTGAGAAAGTGACTTACTTATAACTGAGGTGAGGTGTGGAGCTCTGGTGGAACACTGGGTCTGTGCTCAAGTGCTAATCAAAAGACTGGCAGTTGGAGCCCACCAGCTATTTGGCAAGAGAAAGATGTGGCTGATGTGGCTGTCTCCTTCTACATAGATTACAGCCTTGGAATACATACAGGGGGAATTCTGTTTTGTTCTATGGGGTTGGATGGTAATCATGATGGTTTTTTTTTTTTTTTTTTTTTTGTATAATTGAAGCAGAATCAAAATTGCATTAAGAAACTCTTTTTTAAAAAATTATAAGCCCAGGCATTAAGAAATTATTTCTTGGAACAACTAAGATTTGAACTCAGTCAAGAGTTTAAAACAGTGGTTCTCAAACATCAGAATTATCTGGAGATTCAATGTCCTCCACCCAACCCCACCCAAAATAACAGTACATAACCTACTCAACAATATGAATGGATGCACATCATCAGATTATTAAGTGCTAAAAATCTATTGTGCTTCCATGGTTAGAGCCATGAATTGCTTCAAGCCTTCAGAGGATTGAAAATTGCAGCACACCTGTCAACACCAACCACAGGAAAACTGCTGATAAACCGCATCTCTTCTGTAATTCATGAAACAAAGATTTCATCAATTGTAAGACTCATCCTAATTCACACATTTCACAATGTGAAAAAAATGTGTGTCAGGATCAATAAAATATGCCATGTGTATACATATCCTTCAAAAATGAGATATAAGAGGAAGGGAATACTGTAAGGTAGTCATTCAACCTCAAGGTGGGTTTGAACCATGAGGCCACTGGTTCAAACTCACCAGCCACTTCTCGGAAACTCTATACAGGGTCGTTATGAGTCAGAACCGACTAGACAGCATTGAACAACAATAATAATCTTATGACAACATTTTTTTCCCAGAATTAGTACAGCCAAAACCAATTAAATGTCAGAATCTTGTGATTTTTATAATTAAGCTTTAATTATGTTTTTTTCTTTGCAGATACAATAATCTGAACATGACTCCAACCAGATTTTTTTCAACAGAAACCTGCTGTATAGAAACTATACTCTTATTTTGATAAAATATCAAAAAACTGTATTGGTGAAAATAAATAGGTAACAGAACCAACATACTTTACTTCCATGTTTGTTATCAGATCCTACATTTATGTTTATAATGCATTAGAGTTGAGAAAACAAATAGAAACACAACAGGCATGCACAATTAAGCCACTGCTGATTCCAGATTACATTTAAGGTTTTCCAGATACAAAGAAACGTGCCTTTAACAAGTAACTGAACTGCTGAGAGGCAAGTACCTCTTAGTCAGTGTCTAGCGTACAAGAGAACATGTAACAGAGTATTATGGTAAATTTTGTTAGACTTCTGCAAGTCTAACCATAAAGTCTGTTAAATCAAAACAAACAAACAAACAAACAAACATTAGGATATGTTAACAATCTTGTTCCCAAGTGTGGCAGAGAACACTGACACATTTTTTATTTCTTTACTTTTTCACTAAGAATACTTAGATTTTTTTTGGCATTCTACAGTCAGTGCCCATTGGCTCCTTCTGAGAGTATCCGTGAAGGTTCGGTAAATTTTGCAGTGAACAAGTAAAACAGAGCTGGTGTAGGTACCAATGCCAAAAGAGGTAAATCTTGCTCTAGTTTATCCACTCTGGAAATGGAGATTATCCCATAAGCATGGAGTAACCAGTGGCTGAAGAGGACAATAAGTCTTTTCTTTCTCACCAGTAGATCATAGCAGTTCTGTAGAATTTATAAAAGAAAGAAAAGAGATTACCAGGCTGAATCAGTGATATAATGTATTAAAACATCTTGATTTAAAATTTATTACTTATTTTTACACAAGGTAAATAACCACAGAACCATAGACTGTTCAAGCTAAAAGGAACCTCAGAAAACACCCAGTCTAGCTACCACACTGTACAGACGGCCGTGCCAAGACAAGAGCCCATGTCTCTGAGGCCTGGACCAGACCCTCTCTATATCACCATCACCTTAAGAACCACTACAGATTCTTCTCAAAGATCTGAACGAGAAAGGGGCCTCTCCACCTGCCCTGATTCACACAGCTGTGCGTCTAGAGGTGGGAAACTGGAGAAACTTCAACATTCCTCAAGTGCTTCTGCCAGGCATTAGGAAAAGAACGGACACATGACTACTCTGATTTCCTTTCTTTAACACTACTCTAGAGTATGTAATAAGTAATAACTCAAAGTGCTAACTCACACATTAAAATGTGGTTTGCCTAGGCTAGTTACCAATTTTCCATTATCATTAGGTGGCTCACTAAGTTACCTAGAGCGAGATACTTCCTGATTCCGTTCCCTAGTTCTGATTATGTGGAAAGTGCTAATTGAGTATTTTATATATGAGAGATTGATGGGCGGCAGAGAAACAGAAGTTTCAAATTCAAAACCTTATTTTTAGCAGTTTAGTGCTTACCTTATAGTGCCACCCCAGGGCTCCTTAGGAAATCTTAACTACCTGGAGTAATTAGGCAGTGGGTACTGCCATTGAGTCAGTTCTGACCCACAGGACCCTATACAGGCTTCCTGAGGTTATAAATCATTCTGGGAACCTCATCTTTTTCTCATGGAGTGATTGCTGGGTTTGAACTGTTAACCTTGAGGTTAGAAGTCCAGTGCTTATCCTACAGTTCCGTTGATAGCAAATAAAAATTCAAAAACCACATCTTATTCAAATATCACTTCAATGCTCAAATCTTTCCCTCAAGTTGATGAAAGTATGAACATTTATCTTGAATTTTAAATTATATTAAAATGTTGCTTAAAGACTATAAAGGAAAAACAAGGATAGCCTACCCCTGGAAACATCTGAATAACCACAATCAAACTATTCTGTGCAGTTCCTCTACCGTCTTCCTCCCTAAAAGTCACTAAGAGCTCTACATCAGTTTTTCTTTCTCTCACTCCTTCACTAATAGGAGGAATCTTAAAAAAATTCAGAGAAAAATGAAATGCAAATATAATGGACTTTTTGCACGAACTTTTAAAAGCCTCCCATGTGTAATATAAAATGTGGCATCAGCAGCAACCAATTAAAAATATTTATGACTCACTTTCTGTAGGCTGAGCTTTTTCTTACTAAGAGTTACGAGAAAGCACCCCACCAGTTACAATAAACAGTTTAAGATAGTTCGTAGTCATTAGATTAGACTCCTAGTGTGGTGCTGTAGGATAAGCACTGGCAGCTAACTCCAAGGTTGATGGTTCAAACCCACCAGCTGCTCCTCGGAAACCCTATACAGGGTCATTATGAGTTGGATCCAACTCGAAGGCACTTAACAACATAGGCACTAGATCAGTAAACATTAAGAATTTAGTCTTAAAGAGTTCTCACAGTGGCCTTCCACTGAGATAGTGAAAAATTAGCGGCAGAGAAAGAACAGCATCAGAACTAATGTGTTATTAATGTTATCTTCAAATCACTAAAATAATAGAGATATTAAAGGGCAAAAGTAAACATGTCTAATCATGAAAACTAAAGTAGAGATGTGATCTAGAACAGTATCAAGAGCACAATATAATGATGACATTGTTAATATTGCCACGACAAACTAAATTATAAAATTAGTTTTATAAACAATGAAGCGTTTTTATATTTCCTTAAAAACTGTGTTAATAAGCTTCAACATTTCAATTAAATTGGTCTGCTAACCACAAGACCAGCAGTTTGAATCTATCTGCTGCTCCAAGGGAGAAAGATGACACTTTCTGTTCCTGTAAAGATTTATAGGGTCATTATGAGTTGGAGTCGACTTGATGGCACACCACCACCATATGGATAAATTATGTGAAATAATTATTCTCTACCTAACTAATCCACTATTTCACTAATTCCCAAGCAAGATATAAATAGACCACTACATTTTCATAAACTTTCCTAATGAGCTAAAAGCTATGGACTGACTTATCAACTGCTGTTGTTGGTAAGTACTGTGGAGTTGGTTCCGACCCACAGCGACCCTGTACAGGCTTTCCAAGGCTGTAAATCTTTACGGGAGCAGAAAGCCTCATCTTTCTCCCGCAGAACAGCTGGTAGTTTCAAACTGCTGACCTTGAAGTTGGCAGCTTGATTCGTAACCACTACTCTACTAGAGCTCTATATCAATTACCAAGTATTATTAAAACAACCAGTTGTACTATATCATATGTCATATGTACTATATCTCTTATTCAATTTTAAGACTGTTTTTCAAAAATATTAATACAGGAAAAAAATATTTCCTACCTCTATTTCTGAAGCTGACATGTACACAGCCAGAGTGACCAAGGATAATACCAGTATCATGTATGGAAAGGCATAATCTGAAAAACAAGTAGTGGTATTATGTTGAAAAACATTTTCTAGATAAATTATTAAAAAACAGGTAAACAGTGTAAATTCTCTTTAGATTGGAAATCTCTCTTTAGCAGGCTGTTAAGTGCCTTAGCCCTACTGTTTTCTATAATGGGCTATATAGTAAATATTGTATGCTTTGCCACAATTACCCAACTCTTCAGTCATAGTGGAAAAGCAGCCATAGACAGAACATATATGAACGTGGCTGTGTTCCAATAAAACTTTGCTGTTGCTGTTGAATACCACTGCATCAGTTCCAGCTCATATCTACCTGTATAGGGTTTCCAAGGAGCAACTGGTTGGCTTGAACCACCAATCTTGTAATTAGCAGTCCAGTGCTTATCCAGTGTCATACCAGGACTCCTTTATAGACACTAAAATTTGAATTTCATATGCCAATAAGTATTAGTCCTTTGATTTTTTTCTTCAATCATTTAAAAATGTTAAAGCTACCTTTAGTACGTGGCCAGTTCTGCAGGCCTCTTCCCTAAGACATCCACTGTACACAAAGAACTAACTTCTATTTCCATAGACTAAGAACCACTCAGGACAACTAAAAAAAGTTACTCAAATAATTTTCCGTGTTTTATGATTCGGATGAGAAATCTCGGTGGAGAAAGGATATGGAAGTAATTAGATTTAATTCATCAGATAAAAAGTCCTGGTGTGGCATTATAGGGTAAACACTATTCAAACTCACCAGCAGCTCAGAAACCCTATACAGGGTCGCTATGAGTTGGAACTGACTCACGGCACTTAACAACAAGAAGCCTTAAAGGATAAATGGATCATTTAGTGTTCATAACAAGAAAATTAAGAGTCCTGGTGTGGCACTGTTGGTTAATGCACTGGACTGCAAGATTGATTTGAATGGTGAGGTCGGTGGTTCAAACTCACCAGCTGCTCCTCAGAAACTATACAGGGTTGCTATGAGTCTGGGAGTCCTGGTGTGGTGCTGTGGGTTAATGCACTGGACTGCAGTCATTTTAACCCTAAGGTCAAAGGTTCAAGCTCATCAATCGCTCCTTGGAAACCCTATACAGGGCCGCTATAGGTCAGAACCAACTCAACAGCACTTAACAACAATGTGAAAATTCTAGAAGTTCATACTTCAAACACAGTACAATAATAATACTTTAGGCAATTTTCCCTACAAAGTGCCACCTTTCTCTTAAAATGTTTAAATTTATAGTACACTAAAATAAATGTACCAATTAAAAATACCGGCTAAGTTTTCATGTAAATATTTTACAACAATTAACTTCAGCTGATGAAAATACTGGTGCTGTGGGTTAATGCGCTGGACTGCTAAGTCATTTCAAATGCTAGGTCGGCAGTTCAAGCTCACCAGAGACTCTGAACTATCTACACAGGCCCATTCTAATTGGCATTTGTTATTGTTGTTAAATGTCTTTGAATTGGTTCTGACTCATAGTGACCCTCTATAGGGTTTCTGAAGAGCAGCTGGTGGGTTTGAACTGCCAGCCTTGCAGCTCAAACTGACCCTGCAGTCCAGTGCATTATCCTGCAGCACCACACCAGGGTGGTATTGGGATCCAGACGGGATTTCGAGTGGTTCTTAAACTAAAAAACAAGCTTGAGATTTTGAGCTACTAGATCTGAGGTGAGGCTTGAGAATCTACATTTTATCCAGTTCTTCCCCTGGTGGTGCTGGTAACATAAAAAAAGCACCAATTTGACTTCTAAATAGGTGAAAGTTTGCCAACTTTCTAACCGCTCTGTATCTCTAGCTTGAGATCTGAAGTCCCCAGTATGTCACCAGAAGCTTCCAACGATACCTCTTAACTCAAACTTGGTACACCCACTACCACAGAGTCAATTCCGACTCAGTGACTCTATAGGGTAGAGTAAAACTGCTCCACAGGATTTCCCAGACTGCTCTGGTAGCGTAGTGGTTACAAATCGGGCTGCGAACCGCAAGGTCAGCAGTTCAAATCTACCAGCTGTTCTGCAGGAAAAAGACGAGGCTTTCTGCTCCTGGAAAGATTTACAGCCTTGGAAACCCTGTACAGCGTTGCTATGGGTCGGAACTGACTCGATGGCACTTAACAACAACAAAAACAAATCCTTATAGGAGCAAATAACCTCATTTCTTTCTACAGAGCTGGTGGGTTTGACTACCAACCTTGTGGTTAGCAGCACAATACTTAACCCACTGTACCATGAGGGTGCCTCGACTTGCTATGTTGTTGTTGTTGTTGTTAAGTGCATCCAGTTAGTTCTAACTCATAGCGACCCTGTATATAGGGTTTCCGAGGAACGGCTCGTGGGTCTGAGTTTCTGACCTTGTGGTTTGCACTTCGGTGAAGATCCTACAGCTCCACAGCAGTAGTCAACTTAATATACTCCCTACAAATCAAAAATTCTCTACTCTACTTTTTCAGCATCATAAAATGCTGACTTGGTGCTATGCTCTCTGTAACTAACATCAGCTGGTTGCATAAATCTGCACTTAGTGTGAATGAATCCCACCAGTGGTTACTACATAGAAAGCATGCTGCCTGATAGTCAGTCCTTGGGTTAACTTCTCTTACCTTTTCCTGTTTTCACAGCTTTTCCCTTTCCTCCAGTTCATTACCAAGAGCCCCTGCAGACTACAACATAGAGAGACTTGAGGGCTGACAATTATGAACTCTTTCCAGTCTATCTTAGCTCTCCCAAGTTCCACACTAGGATAAGTAACTACTTGTTATCTTTTGGATATTTCATGAGTACCTAAATCTGAATTCACTCCTCCTTACCAACCTGTTTTCCTCCTCTACTATTCACCGTGTATCCATCCAGAAGTTAGTAAGCCATAAAACAACTTTATTGTATTCTATTACCAAAACCGTTAAATTTAGTTTACCTTCTAAATGGAGTCTCTGGGTACAAACTGTTCAAGAGCTTGGCTGCTAAGAAAGGTTGGCAGTTTGGTTTAGCCAGAGTCTCCTTGGAAAAAAGACCCAGAAATCTACTTCCAAAACATCAGTTGTTAAAAACACTATGAAATACAGTTCTACCCTGATACACACAGGGTAAGCCAAGAGTTTGGTTTGGATTCTTTACCTTCTAAATAGCTGAGGTGAGATCTTTCCTAGGTTCTCTTTCAACTTCCAAGCTATGTTCCTCACGGCTATCAAGTTATTGTTCTAAACTACAAATCTGATCATGGCACTCTTCTGCCTAAAACCTTTAAAGGTATATCCCTATTTCCTGGACTTCTGGCTGTAGGGTCAGCACTGGACTGTGAACCACAAGGTCAGCAGTTCAAATCCACTAACTGTTCCTTGGAAACCCTATACAGAGTCACTAAGAGTCAAAACTGACTCGACAGCACTTAACGACATCATCCTACTCCCTAAAGAAAGAATGTTTTTGCTATGTGACATTCAGTTGATCGAGATTCATACTGACTATATGACAGAGCAGCATTAGCCTATAACATTTCCTAGGCTCTAATCTCCTCAGAAACCCTATACAGGGTCACCATGCATTGAAACTGACTTGGTGGTACTTAACAATCTTTATGGAAGGAGATCTGGTAGTGCAATGGCTAAGCGCTTGGCTGCTAACCAAAAAGTTGGTAGTTGGAACCCATCAGCTGCTCCATGGGAGAAAGATGTAGCAGCCTGTTTCTATATAGACTGTAGCCTTAGAACGCCTCTGAGACGGGTCTGCAGCACATCTGTCAACCAGTCTAGTGGGGATAACAGACCTCTGCCTAGTCTCTAGTCTCCTCTTCCTATGGCTGACCCTCAGCTCCTGCCTTACTTACAACTAAGTTACACTACTAGACTAGATTACAGGCATAATGATGCCGTCTTGCCCAGCCCCTTTAGGCAAAAAGACTTTCCCTCTGCACCCTGGGAGGCTCCATATGTAAAAGTTCTGACGTCCTACATCCTCCCAGTGTTCAAAGTCACATGTTCATATAAGTACCATACTAAATCGCCACCAGGTATTTATACCTGTCCTGCTTTTATATCCTAGTAGTTTTTGAGGACTTTTTTATTCTTCTGAATCACAATTCTGTGTGAATGGTTACTATGTTAAAGAACACATTACAAATTTTGGCCTCTTATCTAAAAGGTTTTCTTAGGGGAACTGAGACGTGTACTTAGTGCCAAAATTATATAGTATTGACAGCAATTTCCATGTATCACATGCAAAAACCAGTTTTTGTTTTTAATTTAAACTCAGGTGTTTGTTTTTTTAACCTCTATGGTTCATCTGATATCTGTTTAGGTTATGAGCCTCAAGCACAAGGTATTCTTGAAATCAGTTTTGATTAGTGGTTATTGATTTCTTGAGAATTTCTATTCCAATCCAAGAAACTAAGGATTAATTTTTATAAGACTAGAATGTTTAATGAAATATATATTAAGATATATTATCAAATATTATAAAAATTAAAAACTATTCTAAAGAAAAAATAACTCCAAAATAAAATTCAAAGGCAATATAGCTTGTCACATGTGATACTAAAGATTTCATTTACTTTAGCCACACAACTTACATAAAAGGCCTCCACCAACTGCTTGAAGCACAGTTAGAATTGGGAAGAAATAAAGTGCAGCATAAATGCTTTTAAATCGGTCAGACTTCCCTAACCCACAGGCAATCTTCTTTACGAGAAGAGGTCGGAGCAGCATCATTAATACCAGGCAAAATGCATAATAGATGAATACAATGGTGTACCTGTAAAATAAAACAAGGAATTTTTTACATGGAAATGCATTTTTGAAACCTTTTATTCTCTTTTTTTTTAATCTTTTATTGTGAATTAAAGAAGCTCTGGTAGCATAGTGGTTACAAATCGGGCTGTGAACCATAAGGTCAGCAGTTCGAAACTACCAGCTGTTCTGCGGGAGAAAAATGAGGCTTTCTGCTCCCGTAAAGATTTACAGCCTCGGAAACCCTGTCAAAGGTCACTATGAGTCGGAAATGACTCCACGGCACATAACAACAACAACAATTGTGAATTATGTGATAGTTTACATGGGAGAACATTAGCTTTACATTCATCGTATTGTGTATCGTTTCACTGCCATGGCTACAATCCCCTCCATGCATCATCAACCAACCAAAGGGTATATACTACAAGCCTGCCCCCCGAGTCGTCAGCACAAAGCTCCTCTCCCTCTCTGGATCTAAAGTCCCTAGCTGCTCCATCTCTCCACATCATCGTCTCTGCCTCCATCTCTGGCATCACTATTTCTCTGGGTAGGGTCCTGCTCTCCACTCTTCTCCCTTAATGGTCCCAGGGACCTCCGCTCCTAGACTGCAAAGTCAATCACTCCCCTCCTTTTGCTACAAAACATCTACCTTTACATTTCCAACCCTCACAGTCAGTCCTGATAACAATTATTCACTATTGTATCAGAAGAGACCTATCTGCATCTCCTTTCATCAGACCTGCCCAGACAGATTAGATACTACTCAGTTGAGATTCTACCTTCTGTAGTACCCTCTGGATCTAGGTTCCCTCTCGAAAGCTTGTAAGCCAGTCACTTCTTGCCTTTGTAGTCGCCCCACCCCCACCCCCATTTTGGGTAGCCAATGTTCAAGTTGCCCATCCCTGTCTACTTTGTGTTTGGAGGGGGTGGGAATGAACCTCGCTATAAAGATTTGTTCCCTCTTTTGAGCTACTGAATCCATAGGTGTAGGTCAAGTTCATCTAATTGTATCAGATTACATCCCCCCCCCCCCTGCTTCTTCTAGTTGAGCTCTGATCATGCAGTCATTGAAGCCAGGTCAAGTGGATATTATCTGCAAGTGTACATATGCCCTCTCTTTTTATCAGCTGGATAATTCACTCTCCACTCTAGTCCTCTGTGGCTATGTCACTGACTCTGGGCCCAAGAGTCCCCATGTCTTGCCACACTGCTGGCCAACCAGGTCTCTGCCCGGGTTCACAGGAGTCTATTGAACGTTGTAGGGCTTAGCTCGCAGCTTTATTGCTGTTTTTCCCTCAATTCCCCTTATTGGTGACAAATGTGGTCACCAATCAGAGCGTGTATTCCCACTGAGTCTTAGTATTAGAAGGGGGTTTGCCTTGCTAACTTTGTGGAACCCGACCACTTGCCTTGATGTCTCCTGGGCAAGCAACTTGTTTGTTCTTGTGATAGTCAGTTGGACTGCCTATATTGTTTTATATTTTTCCTGTCAGTCTTTCTTTCAAGAAGTATCTTTGGTTCCTCTAGCTGCTTCAGGCTGGTCTACTTGTCCTTTCAAGTGGAAATTTCCCACCTCAGAAGATTCAGATGGGTATCAGGATCCCACTTATGGTCTTATGTATTGCAGAGGCTCCGCAGGAAGACTCCTTCACTGGACACGTTACGTTGTAGCCCCATTTTTGGTATTTCAATCGGTTATGTGAAGAAGACGGACTTACAAGCTTTCTATGCTAATATTTCTGGCTATTCCTTTCTCTCCCCCTCAAGTGTCTACTTTATAATGGCATGCCAGGTAAACCAAGATTCAAAATTCAACCAAGCATCTTAACATTATTTTCCCCATTTTCCACTCCAACCATGTCTCAATCCCTGTATCCCAGAGCCCTGTTGTTCCAAGGTTGTGCATACATCATTCTTTACCTCTGTCCCACTTAGCCCATGCAAACCTATTTGTTTTCTTGTCTGATTTGTTCTTCCATTCCCCTCCACCTTCATGTGTATTGCCCCCCTCTCTAGCACCAAAACTATCCTGTGTCTATTCCCTACCCTGTGCTCCACCTTCCCCTCCCTCCCCTCACTGCACCCCCCAAATACCGGTAACTAGCAAAAAATCCCCGCCCCCTTTAGTATGGGTTTTACAGTAGTGGTCCTAGGCAGTATTTCTCCTTTTGTGACTGACTAATTTCACTCAACATAATGTCCTCAAGGTTCATCCATGTTATGCGGTGGCTTGCAGCTTCCTTGTTATTCTTTAAGGTAGCATAATATTCCATTGTGTGTATGTACCACAGTTTGTTTATCCATTCTTCAGTTGATGGGCACTTAGGCTGTCTCCATACTGCTATGAACATTGGTATGCATATATCTATTCGTGTTATGGCTCTTATTTCTTGTGGGTAAAATATCAAGTAGAATAATTGCTGGATCAAAAGGTATTTCTATTTCCAATCTTCTTAGGAAGCGCCATATTGCTTTCCAGAGAGGCTGGACCATTTTGCAATTACACCAGCAATGCAGGAGTGTCCCAGTCTCTCCATATCTCCGCCAGCATTTTTTGATCTTTGCTGTTATTGCTGGTGTGAGATGATATCTCCTTGTTGTTTTGATTTGTATCTCTCTAATGGAAACTGCTTAAACTGCAAGGTTGGTCAAGCTCACCAGCCGCTCCTCAGAAACCCTATACAGGGTTGCTGTGGATCGGAACCGACTTGACGGCATTTCACAACAACAACAACAATGGCTAGTGATCATGAACATTTCTTCATATGTTTGCTGGCTGCCTGGATATCCAAAACATTTTATTCTTGAAAACTTTTTTAAAAAAGGTTCTTTAAAAAGTCTATAAAATGTATTATAAGTCTACCAACTGAATGTTCAAATTGGTAAAGGGTTGGTCTGTCAAATTCTCATGCACTACAGCAGAGTGTGTGTTGGGGTTCCTGCCTAGAATGTCAGTTTTAAAATTTGTACTAAAAATCCTAAAAATGTCTATACCCTCTGATCCAACAATTTTATTATTTTTATTGCTTTCTTTATAATAAAAATTGAGGGAGGAAACAAAATATTCAACAGTAGGCAAATGGTTAAATTTTAGTACATTTGTGCAGGAATACTATTGTTGTTATTAAGTGCTGTTGAGCTGGTTCTGACTCACAGTGACACTGTATAGGGTTTCCAAGGAGCTGCTGGTGGGTTTGAACTGCTAACTTTGTGGTTTGCAGTCCAGAGCTGATCCACAGAGCCACATAAGTAGTGCAGGAGTATTATATGAGCCATTAAAAATCCAGTTATGAAAGAAACATAAATAATAAAAGTAACTGTGCCTAGTATATTAAGCAGCAGGTTACCAAATGACATATGTACAATACAACTTCCTTTAGAAGTATACACACACACAGAAGTGAAACTAGAAAGACAAAATATTTAGCAGTGATTAAGGAGCTCTGATGGCGTAGTGGGTTATTAACGATAAGGTCAACAAACTATAAGGTCAGTAGTTCAAATCCACTAGCTATTCCATGGGAAAAAGATGAAGCTTTCTGCTCCTGTAAAGATTTACAATCTCGAAAACCCTATACAGGGTTGTTATGAGTCAGTCCAGATTTGACAGTACATAACACCATCTTCACTGGTAGAGCTGACATTTTCAGGCTATATCTCACTTGGCAGGAAAAGGTTGGATAGAGCCTCAGGATGATAGTACAGCTCTCAGTCCATCAGAATCATGACATAACTTCACTGATGATCTTTTCCATCTACTCATCATCTCAAAATTAAGATTTTTTTTTTTTTCCTCAGAACTTTACCGACTGTGGAATAGCCTGCCTTGTTTTGTTAATCATATAAAATAATAATTTTATAAAATCATGAGAGTATTTTATAGTAAATTAATTAGAGGTGGCCGTTTAAGGGTGCAGAATAAAGGACTAAACCTGTTCAGAATCCCTGTTCTAATCCTGTATTTTTTTATTATCCTCCTAAAGGCTTTTAAAAGGAGCTCTGGTAGCGTAGTGGTTACGAATCGGGCTGCGAACTGCAAGGTCAGCAGTTCGAAACTACCAGCTGTTCCGCGGGAGAAAGATGAGGCGTTCTGCTCCCGTAAAGATTAACAGCCTTGGAAACCCTGTGCAGGGTCGCTATGAGTTGGAACCGACTCCACAGCACATAACAACAACAGCAGCAACAAAGGCTTTTAAGATACTATATCCACACTATATTTTGTCATTGTTAGGTGCCATGGACTCATAGCGAACACAGCACAACAGAAGGAAACACTGCCCGGTCCTGGGCAAACCTCACAATTGTTGCCACGCTTAAAAGCCCACTGATGCTGCCACTTTGCTAATCCATCTCGTTGGGGGTCTTCCTCTTTTTCTCTGACCCTCCACTTTAACAAACATGGTATCTTTCTCCAGTGACTGGTCCCTCCTGACAATATGTCCAAAGTTATGAGAGACGAAGTTTGGCCATCCCGGACTCCAAGGAGCACTCTGGCTGCACTTCTTCCAACACATATCTATTTCTCCTTTTCACAGTCCATGGTAAGTTTAATATTCTTCTCCAACATCATAGCTCAAATGCATCAATTCGTCTACGGTCTTTCTCATTCACTGTCCAGCTTTTGCATGAATATGAGGTTATTGAAAATACCATGGCTTGGGTCAGGCGCACCTTAGTCCTCAAGCTGACATCTTTGCTCTTCAACACTTTTAAAAAGGTCTTGTGCAACAGATTTACCTAACACAATATGTCGTTTGATTTCTTGACTGCTACTTCCAAGAGTGTTGATAGTTGATCCAAGAAGAATGCAAGTCCTTGACAACTTCAATTTTTTTCTCCATTGATAAGAATGTTGTTTATTGGTCCAGTAGTGAGGATTTTTGTTTTCTTTACATTAAGATGCAATCCATACTGAAGGCTGTGCTGTTTGATCTTCATCAGTGAATATTTTAAGTCCTTTTCACTTGCAGCAAGCAAGGTTGTATCATCTGCATATGGCAGGTTGTTCGTAAGTTTTCCTCCAATCCTGATGCCACATTTTTCTTCATATAATCCAGCTTCTCGGATTATTTGCTCAGCATACAGGCTGAATAAGCATGGTGAAAGAATATAACTCTGGCACACACCTTTCTTAATTTTAAAACATTTCAGTGTTCCCATGTTCTGTTCCAACAATTGCCTCTTGGTCCATGTACAGATTCCTCATGAGCACAATTAAGTGTTCTGGAATACTCATACTTCGCAATGTTGTCCATAGCCTGTCATGATCCACACAATTGAAAGCCTTTGCACAGTCAATAAAGCACAGGTAAACATCTTTATGGTATTCTCTGCTTTCAACCAAGATCCATCAGACATCAGCAATGATATCCCTCATTCCATGTCCTCTTCTGAATCCAGCTTGAACCTCTGGAAGTTCTCTGTCAATGTATGCTTATAACCATTTCTGTATTACCTTTAGTAAAACTTCACTAGCATGGGATATCAAAGATATTGTCTGATGATTTCCGCATTCCGTTGGGTCACCTCTCTTTGGAATGGGCACAAATACAGATCTCTTCCAATCAGTCAGCCAGATAGTTGTCTTCCAAATTTCTTGGCAGAGATGAGTGAGTGCCTCCAGTGCTGCCTCACTTTCTTGAAAGAATTCAATTTTTATTCCCTCAATTCCTGGTGTCTTATTCTTTGCCAATTCCTTCAATGCACCTTGGACTTCTTCCTTCAGTATCATTGACTCTTGATCATATGCTACCTCTTGAAACAGAAAAACACTATATATGTAACAAGAAGTAAATAAATGTAATTTCATTTTGAATAAGGTGGCTATATACCTTATTTAAATATGGTACTCGATTCACTAAAGAAACCCTCTATATAGGACCAAGTTAAGTTCTGAAAGTTTCCAAGGCCATATCCGACCAGAGAGTAATTGAAGCTGAGGATTACCGCTCCACTAAATCAACAAAGGAATTAATCAATCTTTTTTATATAAATTATACCTGTTAATTTAAAAACATAAATTTTGTATATGTGTGTTTTGGACACTTTACAATTAAACACCTTGCTCAAAAAGGATGCCTGTTATATAATGAAAAGTTGCTCTAACTATGGGAACATGAATACCACAGTTTCCTGTTACATATTTACCAAGAAAAACATATCAAAACAAACACAAACAATTTATAGAAATTCTAAAATAAAGTTGTCTGGGATAATATTATACAGTCTTATGAATCTGTTATTTGTAAAAATAAAAGCTTTTTATAGAAATCACAAATATTTATTTGGAAAAAAACATTAACCTAAGCACTCCAATAATGCCAGCTACAATGAAGTACACCTCTTCTAAGTTAAGGATAGCTGATAAGTGCTGACTGATTTAATTAATATGGTCACTTTATAAGGTATTATTATTCCCATATTATTAAGAAAACTGAGGTTAAAAGAGGTTCTATAACATGCCCAAGTTAACATGACAAATGGAAGACCTGGGATTCAAACCCAAGCCTACTTTGGGCTCCAAAGCTCATTTTCTTTCCTATATAACAACTATGGCATCTCTCCTGTATATCCAAAAGGTTTTCCTTCAAACTCCCTTTTTGAAAAGTCTTAAAAAGTGTATGCTGCTTATTTTAGAAGTGTTTATAACATTTCAACACCAACACAAAGTCTTACATCTATGATATTAAGATGCATTTCGATTTCTTTCATGAGACTGTAATTATTATTGTTGTTATTAAGTGCCTTCGAGTTGGTTCTGACTCGCAGCAAGCAACCTTGTATAGGGTTTCCGAGTAGCAGCTGGTGGGTTTGAACACTTACCATGCGGTTAGCAGCAGTCCAGTGCTTATTCTACAGAGCTACACCAGGCATAATATATATGCCTTAAGAGAAGAAAATCATTTCTGCATGTTTTTTCCAGTGCCTAAAAATAATTACATAAGGCTCAATCTGTTACAATAAATGAAATCTATAACAATCCTCATAGCTGTTTATTTAGTGATCTGAAGTCTAAATACTTACAGTGGGTAGACCGCTTCATGAGTACAGTGCACTGTAGTAATATAATCTGGACTTGGGTTGTAAAGCATTGTGTACCAATCAGAAAGCATCAATACCCGGCAGGAACGGATATGAAGAACACCGACTGGATCACTCACAAGTAAGGTGATAATAGCTGCCATGCTGCATTCAAATAACGCAGTGATATGTTGGAAAAGCGCACTGGAACTACAGAAACAACAAAAAAAGCATGATTCACAATATTCAAATAACTTCTAAGAAAATCTGCATTTGTTACAAGATCTGGTTTTTAAAAAAAATTTAACTAAAAACTCCTAAAACTAAAAAATCTTCTAAGCAGGTAAGAAAAGCCAATATTGTCAAAACTACTTTCGAAGAATTCAAAACCTTGTTTACTCATAAGGGAGATACTCAGCCCAGGTAAGACTGTGTCAACACTATCTTAAATGTATAACAGAAAAGCAGGCATTGATTTATTTTCTCTCTTTAGTATCTTGATAAATCATTAAAACTTTCTAAAAGCTATCTATATAACATTTTGCATTATCTTAAAATACGAAACAAGTACACAAGCGTATGTTACATGTGTTAAAGTATAATAAATAATAAACATCATGAGCTTACCACCTAACTCAGTAACTAGAACAGTAACCTACATTACCTCTGGGTTTTTCCCATTTCCACATCTGTCTTCCCCCAAAAGGTAACCATCATACTAATAGGTTTTTATCATTTCACTGCTTTTACTAAAGTTTTATTCTAAATGTATTTATCATTCAAAATCACTCTGCTTATTCCTTATTTTTAAATGATATCATATTAATATAAGTATTCTGGGATATTTTTTTCCCATTCCAAATTACATTTCCAAGATTCAGTCATGTGGTTGGCTGTAGCAAAGGTTGTAAGTTTCAGTGCTGTATAATATTCACCCTATAATGGCTTATTTATCCATCCTGTTGTTAGTTAAATGTGCTTCTAATGTCTTCCTCTCAGTTTACATGTTAAATTCTCATTTTGCTTATGATATCTTTTTATTAACAGATAGTCTATGTTTAAATACGGTTGACTTCATGAAGTTTTTTTTCTGGTTAGGAATATTAATGTTTTGCTTAAGAATTCTTTATTCATATCTAACTAAACCTATATATATATATATATATATATTTCTCAGGGGAGAAAGATCAGACTTTCTGTTCTTGCAAATATTTCACATCTAAATCTTTAACTCATCTGGAATAGGTTTCAGTAACTTTAGACTTTCCAACTTGGATACCAAAGTGTTCCAGCAGCATTTTATGGACTGGTCACTACTTTCCCACAACTGATTCACCATGCCACTTCTGCCAAGAAACATTCCATATAGAATTGAGTCTATTTAGGCTATTTGTCCATGGGGTCCATTTATCTATCCCTGAAATACCTAAATACAGTAATAATTTTTGAAATTTCTCTCCTTCAGTACTTTTGACTGTTGTTGGCCCTTCACTCTTCCATATAAATTTGAAAGTGGTGAAGTTCATTAACATAAATACAATACAAATTAGATTTGTAATAACACTAAAGATCAATTTAAAGAATAACATTTTCAATAGTGGGTCTTCTGAACCATGAAAATAGACTCTATCTATATATATCACTTGGGTTCACTTTAATGCCCATTTAGTCTTAGGTACTTCACACTTAATGTGACACTATAAAGGAGTATGTTGTTGTTATTGTTAAGTAGCGTCGAGTGGTTCTGACCCTTAACAACCCTGAATAGGGTTTTCGAGGAGAAGCCGGTGAGCTTGAACTGCTGATCTTTATAGTTCAAACGGCTTTGCAGTTTGGTGCATTAACCCACAGCATCACACCAGGGCTCCAAATGAAATACAGGAAGATAATTTAAAAAATACATATTTATCTTACAGCCAGTCTCTTTACTTCTTACAAGAAATAAAGTCTATTTATTTCTTACAAGAAATAAAGATATCTTACATCTTTATTTCTTACATATATATCTTACAGCCACTCCCTTATTTCTAACATTTTGTCTATGGATGCTTTTGAGTTTTCAATATGAACAATGTTGCAGTTATCTAAAATGCTAAACAATACCTCAAAACAGTAGCTTGAAACAACTGCTAGTTATCTGTCATTGTTCTTAGGCATGATGGGGCAGCTTGGCAGTCCTTTATGCTCTATGTACCCTTGGTTTGAACTGCAGTCAACTTGCTAGCGCTTTCAGGATGTCAGTGTCATAGAGTGGGAGTTAACCCTAGCATGGCTGGGGCTGACCATGAGAGCACCTTGGTTCTCTTTCACAATCTCCCTTTGTCTTTGTCATTCTACAATTTCATTGTGATGCACTAAGGTGTGAACTGCTTTTTATTTAATTAGGCTTGGAAAGCATTTTGCTTCCTGAATCTGTGAATCAAATTTTTTCATTACTTCCATAAATTCTACAGCCAGATTATCTTTAAATATTTGCTTTCTTTCATTTTCTGAGAAGTTAGGGGAACTAAAAGAAAACCAGTATGGTTGAAATGTACCAAGGTAGACTTTGGCTCCCCAAATCCAGTGAAATCAAGTTTGCAGACTTATCAAAATGCTTTCAATTCTGGCCTTCATGTTCCTTTTTTTCTTTTTCTTGCTTTTAACCTCTCTTCCTCATGCAACTCAATCACACTTGTGCCAACCCAGACAATTTCCACTCCCACCCCCAGCAGATCACACATTTCAGCTCTCCATCTCATTGATCAGCCTGTTTCCTCTGCCTAAAATGTCCTTTTCTTGACGTCTTTCCTATTCCACCAAGCATAGTTTATCTCTGCATTGTTTGAGTATAGTGTTGTAGGATAAGCACTGGACTGCTAACCGAAAGGTTGGAGGTTCAAATCCACCAGCCGCTCCTTGGACACCCTATGCAACGTCGCTATAAATCAGAATTGACTCGATGGCACACAAAAATCACAAAGTGGTATATTAGATTATTAGTATTAGATAAAGTATCATGTTTATTCTAGAATGATGTTGTTTGTTGTTGTTAAGTACCTTGGAGTTGGTTCTGACTCATAGTGACCCTGCATAAGGTTTCCGAGGCTGCAAATCTTTACAGGAGCAGAAAGCCTCATCTTTCTCCCACAGAAAACAGCTGGTGGTTTCAAACTGCCGAACTTGAGGTTAGCAGCCTGATTTGTAACCACTACACTACCAGAGCTCCTTCTAAAATGATAGTTTGTAATAATATCCACTTGTTTGGAGAAAACCCTGAAGGACCATAATTGACAAACAGAAAAATACTCCTTTAAGTTCATTTAGAGTGAAACAAACACAAGGTGGTGGTGGTGGTTGTGTACTGTTGAGTTGGTTCTGACTCACAGTGATCCTGCATGTGGCTTCCAAGGTTGTAAAGCCTCATCCCTCTCCCACAGAGTGACTGGTAGAATCAGAGTACTGAACCTGCAGTTAGCAGCCCAGCTGGTAATCCACTACATGGCTGAGGTTCCTTAAGCACAAAGTAGTTCCCTTATTAATTTTAATTACTGAGGCATGCCCTAGCATTAAGTTTTCTTACCAGAATAAAGTAATCAGGATACAGGGAAGAATAAGCTTACCATACTAAAACAACCCAAGAAATATAATTACTTGATGGTGTTATTATTAAGTGCCGTCAAGTGGGTTTTGACTCATAGTGACCCTGTATAGGGTTGCCAAGGAGCGGCTGGTGAGTTTGAACCACCGACCTTGTGGTTCCAACTGACATTGCCATCTAGTGCAATACTCACAGTGCCACATCAGGGTGTCTCCTAAATGATAATTATTCCAACATCAGTCAACCCAGATACATTCAAAGAAAGTACGAACCTCTTTTTCCCTGAGTACCATTCAATGAAGAACCAATGCAAAACAAGAGGAAGCATAGCCATAAATCCAAGATATAGCCAATCATAAAGTTCTGGAGACTCTGTGCAAGGCTGGCAATATTTCTGTGCATTTGTTCTCTGTCCCCTTGGGCATACCTACAGTCAGTGAAAACAATACTATATGTTTAGATATTATTTTAGAACATTAACATCCCCAGAAATCTTTTCAAACATCTAAGCTTACATCTTTAAGAAATATAGACGTAGTATAAGCTAAAGGGGGAAAAGGGGGTACTGTATTTACTATAAAAAGCTCTTAAAGAACTTTACTAAGTTAAAAAAAACAGTTGACTAATGACTATTTTCATTCATTGGAAAACCTACTTTCTAACATTGTATAAAAGTAATTACAAATAAATATTGCATAGCTACAATGCTAATTTACTAATCAAGTCATTGTGCTAAATTATTAATAGAGCATAATTAGAAATTCCTGTGAAATTATGTTTCTAAAATACTTAGTAATTGTGATTATAAGACATACTAATGATATTCAAGCTAACACAAGTAAGAATTTTATTATTGTCTCCATATTTACTCTTTTATGACGTAATGAAAATATATTTAAAAGATACATGTGAAAATATTTTAAAAGCAAATAGATTTAAAATAAAATAGCACATAAGACTTACCCCACATTCTCCATATATTTCAGTTGAACCATTTTTAAATAACAGAGTCTTTCCACAATAAAGTCCAATGCATGCTGGTTGAATATCGACAGCTTTTTAAAAACAAATGTCAGTATAGTAACATCTTTTATAATTATAAAAAATAATATTATAATAGCTGAAGTAGTTGGCAGGATTATCTCAACAATTTCAATTAAAAAATATGTATTAGGTAAAACTCCTGATGCATTCAGTTTCAACTTTGATTTCTGATTTTATGCTGTGACACTGCAAAGCCATACACTAGACCCTCACTATTGATACTAGTAATTCCCAGAACTCAAAGCCTAACCTGCTATGTAGGTCTCTAGCCAGTCACTCCTCTAGCTGAGTTTCAGACTTTTGAATTTCACTAATTATAAAGTTACAAATTTTTTTTTAATTGAAGAATTGATAAAGGGTATCTCCCTTTTACTTTGTCTACTCACATAGTCTATCATCAATGTCTCTCAAAAACACATTTTAACATCAAGAAGGAAGAAAGGACATAATTTTAGACTAAAGGATAGGTGTTTAAGGTCACTAAAGCCAGCAGTATGAAAAGTTTACTGTATTGTCCTATTATTTTTGTGGAGGGCAGGTGACAATTTCATCTAGATCTGTCACAGGGCCTCTGACCAGCATTTGCAACGTGTGGTGCTGTGGGTTAATGCGCAAAGTCGGTTTGCACTACAAGTTCGGAGGTTCAAAGTCACCAGCTGCTCCTCAGAAACCCTATACAGGGTCTCTATAATCCAGAACTTAACACAACACAGCTTTAAAATCAACCCCAGATCTCAAGGAGGGTGAGGAAAAAAGCAGTTCTTAACAAAGCATATTCAAGGGCCTCCAAATTGACCACATTAAAGGGGGAAGCTATGGAAGGGGTTTTCAACAATGACGTGATTTCCTTCACCTACTGATCTAGTAGCTGAATTAATTTTCAATAAACGTAGTGGGGCAGCACGGTGGCTCTGTAGAATAAGCACTGGACTGCGAACCACAAGATCGGTGGTTCGAGCCTACCAGTCGCACGGGGAGAAATATCATGCATTCTGCTTCCACAGGGTCGCTGTGAGCCAAAACCGACACGGCAGCACTTAACAACAAACATGTACTGAGGTTATGATGGCCACTAAATAGCCAGGGGGCAGACGTGAACCTCCCCTCAAAGCACCAACAGCCTGGTGGTGGTGGTGGTGGTTGTGTGCCGTGGAGTCGGAACCGACTCATCGTGACCCTGTACAGGGTTTCTGAGGCTGTAAATCTTAACAGGAGCAGAAAGCCGTATCTTTCTCCCGCGGAACAGCTGGTAGTTTTGAACTCTGACCTTAAGGTTCGCAGCCCATAACCACTATGCTACCAGCTCCTCACCAACAGCCTAGTGCGGCATAAATGCAAAACACCTTTGGTCAAGATGTGAACTAATTGACAAAATAATTACTCATTTTAAGACTATTCTTGAACACTCTTTCCCATATTCTTCATGAATTCATTCTAGAAACTGCCCAGCCCACAAGGTGTTTTCTCCTTTCAAATGCAAGCAGACATTTCATTTCTTCCCCCTTGTGCACTGAGAAAACTTAGAAAAAGCACTGATTAAAACGTCTTAAGCTTAATATTTTCACTTTATCAAATTTCTAACTTATCTTTGAAATCCACAATACCCCAAATGAATCGTGATTATGAGTCTCCGAGAAGGCAGGAGAGTCAAGATTTGGATGCTGCTTCTATGTGGGTTTTGCATCTACTGATGTTATAATAAATACATTCGAAGTTAACTTGAAGTTTCTCAAATCCCACCATTTCCAGGTATAAAAACCCGTGTGATACGATAAAATGAAAGCACACTAAACTTGATCGACCAAACAGAACCTGGCTCCCCGGGTCCGCTCAATCTCCCCTACCATTCCCTCTGGTGAAAATTTCACACCTTTTCCTTTTTTTGACAACGATCTGGTCCCTCAGTGGAAGGCCCTACACATTTACAGTTGATGCTGAATCGGGAGACAACAGTTATTCCGCATTCGCTTTCTTCACAGTTTCCCTGCACGCCCAGGCTTTTAATTTTGAAGTCAAACATCATCAAGTTTCCGCCCACATCTAACAAAGGAACTGAAGTGACATTTCGAACAACAAAGGAGTGGCCTTCCCCGTGCACCTAGTCGGCTTCCCCTCTGCAGAGCGTCAGGAGCCGAGACCACCCCAACCAGGAGAGGAGTCCCGGCGGGTGGGGGGGCGAAGAGCGAGGATGCGGGCTAACCAGAGTCAAGAACAGAGCCGGCAGGGAAGGAAAGAAGCAGGAACAATGCAAAACTATCCTGGAACTCGGCGACCACTCACCCATTGGCCACTCGAAGGCTTCCCTCAAGAACAGGGAAGCTCCGAGACCAGCCTACCCCGCCGCAGCGTCCAGACATCCGGGCCTCCTCGGCCCCGGTAGCTCCGCCTCCTGGGAACCGGGACGTCGGCTCCGAAGCGCCGCCCCCGTCGTGTGCTTCCTGTGCCTGGGTTCCGAAGCCCCGCCCTCTGGGGGGAGTAGTCACGCGTCCTGTTAAGTACTCTTGGGCTAAGTACACGGGTAGGTAGAGAGCTGAAGGCGTGCGCGTCCGGGCTAACATCGAGACCCCGGTTGCAGAAAATGGAACGCGCGTTGGCTGTGCCCTGGGTGCCCCCGCATGATCCGAGGACCCCAGCGCTGTCGGTGGTGGATATGCACACGGGCGGCGAGCCCCTACGCATCGTGCTCGAGGGGTGCCCGGAGGTGGTTGGCCCCACTCTGCTGGCCAAACGGCGCTACATGCGCCAGCACCTTGACTACGTGCGACGGCGGCTTATGTTCGAGCCCCGGGGGCACCGGGACATGTACGGAGCCATCCTGGTGCCTAGCGAGCTTCCGGACGCGCACCTAGGCGTCCTGTTCCTGCACAACGAGGGCTACAGCTCCATGTGCGGCCACGCAGTCCTGGCGCTAGGTCGCTTCGCGCTAGACTTCGGGCTGGTGCCGCCTCCCGCGCCTGGCGCCCTGGAGGCCTGCGTCAACATCCACTGCCCGTGTGGGCTGGTGACCGCCTTCGTGGCGTGTGAGGGCGGCCGTAGCCGCGGCCCGGTACGCTTCCACAGCGTCCCGGCCTTCGCGCTGGTCACAGGTAACCTTCGGGACCCCTCCAGCCCAGGGCGGTGCCGCCAACTGGGACGCCGCTAACCGCGCTAACAGTCTCGCATGAGCTGGAACTCGCAAGGTGCAACTAATCTCACCCCCAGAGCTCTTGCCATTAATGAAAGGTAATTCTAAATCACTGCAAATGTGAATCGGCATGCATCTCGATGATCCTGCAGGTCTTGGGAGAGCCTTGTGGAACACAGACTGTTGTGTTCCTCTTATTCTGTGTCTCGTTCCCCTCCCGTCGAGATTTCGCTGTTGGGTAAGCTAAGGTCAAAGAGCAAAGAACAACTGGGATTTCAAGTTGGGCTCAATGCACCTGCTAAAGGCATTATTCCTAAATAATGTTTTCTTAAAACATTTGCAAAAAGTGCCTTCCACACTACTTTTGAAGACAAGCAAGAGTGAATGAATACAATTTATACTTCGTGAAGATGCAGGTCCTGATGTTATTATTTATAAGGACAGACGTAACTGCTTGGGTTCCAATCGTGCTCAACCGTTTAAACCCATGCAGCCTTAATTAAGTTACTTGTAATCTGTTCTTTTACTGTTTCATAAAGTTGTGAGAAGTAAAGGAAAAGTACTTAACGTTTTTTAAAAAATTGAAATATATCCCTAGAGATGAAAAGACAGGCTGAAGAATATATAGGCTTGGCAGTTAAGAAATCTATAGGTGTGTAGAGCCTTTAGGAGCCCTGGTGGCACTGATTAAAGCGCTCAGCTATGGTTACTGCTCTTGAACAGGTTGGAATTGGTTTGAGTCCACCAGTCACTCCCCAGTACAAAGAAGTGGCAGTCTATTTCAGGACGAGTGGTGGTTCTACACTTTATACACTGTCCTCTGAATCGGAATAGACTTTGGCAGTGAGTTTGGTTTGTTTTTGGGAGCCTGTGCTGCTACTGCTCCTTGGTGCCTTGGAGGTGGTTCAGACTATAGAGTCCCTGTATAGGGATTCAGAGTCTAAAACTTTACAGGAGTAGAACGCCTCATCTTTCTCCTGTGGAGTGACTGGTAGATTCAAACTGCAGACCTTGCAGTTACCAGCCCAACACATAACCCACTACACTACCAAGGCTTCAGGGAGCCCATGGTTGGTGCAAATTGATATTATGCTGGACTGCTAAACAAAAGGTTAGCGGTTCAGATCCACCCAGTGGCTCCTGGGAAGAAAGACCTGCTGGTCTAAAAAAACAGCCTTAAAAACCCTATGGAGCACAATGATACTCTGGGTTGCCTGGAGTTGGATTTGGCTTCTTTGGCAGCTAGTATATTGTTAAGTGCCATCGAGTTGGTACCGTCTCATACTGATACTGTATAGGGTTTCCAAGAAGCAACTGGTAGGCTTGAACCTTGGGGTTAGCTGTCTAGTTAGTGCTTATCCTACAGTGCCACACCAGGACTAGTATGAGGCTGGCTGGCTTGCTGTGTGCCATCGAGTCAGTTCCAACTCATAGCGACCCTCCCTGTACAGGGTTTCCGAGGCTGGAAATCTTTACGGGAGCAGAACGCCTCATCATTCTCCAGCGGAACAGCTGGTAGTTTCTAACTGCTGACCCTGTGGTTCGCAGCCCGATTGGTAACCACTACACTACCAGAGCTCCTTAGGACTAGTATGTAGAGCCATTAAAAAGTTTTGGTGAGTTCCCTACTATAGAGCCTTCTGCGTCATGTAAATCAGAGAGATTCTATAATGAAACGATTACAAAGAGGGAGATCCCGCTCAAGGAAATAACTAGGTAGGCTAGCATTTGGGCAAGGGACAGAATTCCCTCAGTTAGGGTGCTTTACTCTTCATGACCGGAAGTGGACTGGGAGGGAATGCAGTCATCAGGAATGGGGTTATCACTTCTTTTCCTTAACGTCTTTAAACCATGCAAATCATGTGCATAGAAATTTTTCAATCTTGATCTTCTCTAAGAAACTGGACTTCAGATTAGCCGGATGATGGATGATATAGTAACACCCCAAGTGTGGCCCCTTTAGAACAGCTTCAGTACCGAAACACTCAAGTTGAAGAATGCTTTAGGGTAAATCAGTGCCACTTTCCACCCTTAGGAGAGAATGCTGTGACATCCAGCTAAAGAGGGCACATAAACAGTATACATTTATGTTTAGGAACCGCATCAGTTAACTAACTTGGCTACATTTCCCCCTAGGCAACCTCAGCAGTATTTACAGCATTCAACCTTTTACGGGAAGTGACAGCTGACAGGATTATCCGCTACATCATGTTGTTATGTGCTCGACTCACAGTGGCCCTGTATTGAGTTTCCAAGGAGCAGCTGGTGTGTTTGAATCACTGACCTTACAACTCAAACCAACCTTGTGATCCAGTGCTTATCCTGTAGTGCCATAGCTGAGAGCTGTTTCCTGTAGGGGCACCAATCCTGTAAGCACAGTCATTCTTTGTTTTTTTATAAGTTTTTATTGTGAGTATTACATGGAAGAATATCAGTTTTACATTCATCCTATTGTATTTCGTTTCATTGCAATTATTACAGTCCCCTTCATGCATCATCAAATAACCACAGGCCAGCCCCTGGGCCATCAGCACACAGCCCCTCTCCTTCTCTGAGTTCAGTGTCCCCAGCCACTCCATCTGTCTATGTCATCATCTCTGTCTCCATCCCTGGCATCTCTTCCTCTCTGGATAGGGTCCCACTCTCCGTTCTTCTCATATGATGGTCCCAGGGACCTCCGGTCCTAGGCTGCAAAATCAATCAAGCACAGTCATTCTTGAGAGCATCACAGTGTGTGACAACCTAATAGTTAGTGGCATTAATGGTCACTGTGAATCTTTAAAACAAAATCTACTTTGATGCTTCATTGAAAGATTCTCAGAGTGCTTGACAAATATTTTTGTATGGTTGGGGGAGAGAAGGGCATTCTGATGTTCTATAGCTAGATTGGCCCAGGACCAGGCAGTATTTCATTCTGCTGTGCATAAGGTTGCTGTGAGTAGGTACCAACTCAATGGCACCTAACAACAAAAAATAGCTTATAAAAACATCATTAAATTAAAAATAGAAATGGTTATCTTGCTAAATATCTATTATTATGTTTTCTGGTGCTTGCTTTGTACGTTTGCTTCATTCCTTTACATGATGGGTGTGAAGACATCAAATCCTACTTCTCTGACCCCAGATGATCAATCAAATAAATCCCTTATCAAATGTTCAAATTAATCTATCAGATAAATCAATCAAATTTTATCCAATCAATCAAATTAATCTCTTATCAATTTCCATTTCTTTGCATATGCAGTACTTCTTCCAAAATTAGGTCACATCTTGTTAAAGGGACACAGTCCTTCAAACTAAGACTTAAGACACCAGTAGCATTTAGGGTTTTAGGATATCAGTGATAAACTCAGGGACCCCAAGGACTCCTGTCACTTCTAACCCCCTGACTGTAACTTCAGGAATCCCCTCTACTCCCTCAAGATACCAGCTGTAAGCTCAGGTCCCTAGGACCCTCCGACTCCTGATGTGTGGGTTCTCATTACTCTTGGGTTTGCCAACTTACTGGAACGGGCACAGGTATGTATACTCCCATGTGCGTGGTTGTCAACCAGGAAGCCATTGGAGCTGGTCAGTCCAGGGCCTTTATTGGGGCCTCGTTTTGTAAGCATTATTAAATGACTCTACCTGCTTGGCTGAGGTTGGCTTATATGAATTGGGTCTTTCTAGCCTGACCAACCTGAGTCACCTCATTAACATAAACTCACAGTCCCTGGTCAGTCTGGAGGTCTCATCAAAGATAATGATTGGGGAAATTCCATGTCTTTAGAGGTTATCTCTCAGGGACCAAGAACAAAGACCAAATTCTTTATGTAGAAGTTAAAATCTATACCTCACAGTGTGAAAAGATCCACCTAAACCCAGAAATAAATGCACTTAAAATGCTGTGAATTTGTTATCCAAAATAATAGAAACAAGCTTATTTTCAACACACTTATTTTTTAGACCTCACAGTTGACGTTCCTGGTCATGGAAAGGTGGTGGTAGACATTGCATACGGTGGCGCATTTTATGCATTTGTCAGTGCTGAAAAATTTGGCCTCAACGTTTGTTCAGCAAAGACGAGGGACCTTGTAGATGCTGCAAGTGCAGTAACAGAAGCCGTGAAAGCGCAGGTCAGTACAATTGCTTCCTTAGTAACCAATGCTCCTCTGTAGCACAGAGGAGATAGAAATTAGTGTGCCTACAAAGGGAGTTCGAATATATATTTAAGTTATGCCAGCTGTTCCTCAAAAACTCTACACAGGGCACTTAGCCACTACTAAGAAACTGGGAGTTCCAGCTTGGCTATTTGTAACCTTTGCAACCTTTATAAGCTTAGATGAGTAACAACCTCCATGTGCTTCAGTTTTCTGTCTGCAAAATGGAAATGACAACATAGCTATTTCATAGGTTTGTTGTAAGAATTAAATCGGTTCATGTAGCTAAAGGACTTAGAATAGTATCTGACTGGTACTGTTGTTCTTGGGTGCTGTTGAGTTGGTTCTGAATCCTAGCAGCCTCCTATACAACAGAAACACTGCTGGGTCCAGCGACATCCTCACAATCAAGGGCTTGAGCCCGTTGCCACTGCCTATGGCTGTGCCAATCCATTTCATTCCCAAGAGGGGTCTTCCTCTTTTTCGCTGACCTCTTTATCAAGCATGATATCCTTCTCTAGGGATTGGTCCCTCCTAGATAATATGTCCTAAGCCTAGATGACTCACCATTTTCGCTGCACCTTCTCCAACACAGATTTGTTTCTTTTTCACACAGTCTTCTCCAACACCATCACTCAACTGCATCAATTCTTCTACTGCTACTGTCTTCCATATTCACTGTCCAATTTTCACATGCATATGGAGCTAATGAAACTATCACTTGGCTCAGGCGCAGCTTAGTCCTCACACTGACATCTTTGCTTTTGAACACTTTAAGAAAATTCTTGTGCAGATGTGCCTAATCTAGTATGGGTACGTCATTTGATTTTTTTACTGTTGTTTCCAAGAGTGTTGGTTGTGAATCCAAACACAATGAAATCTTTGACAACTTAAATCTTTTCTCCATTTGTCATGATGTTATTTACTGGTCCAGTGGTAAGGATTTTTGTTCTCTTTACATTGAGGTACAATCCATACTGAAGACCATGGTCTTTAATAGTCATCAGTAAGTATTTTAAGTCCTCTTCACTTTCAGCAAGGAAGAATGTATTACCTGTGTATCGCAGATTGTTAGTGAATCTCCCTCCAGTCCTGATGCCACATTCTTCATATAATTCAGATTCTTGGATTGTTTGTTCCGAATACAGAGTGACTAGGTATGGTGAAAGAATACAACCCTGTCACATACTTGTCCTGATTTTAAACCATTCAGCGTCCCCTGATTCTGTTAGAACAATTGCTGCTTTGTCTATGTACAGGTTCCTCATGAGCACAATTAAGTATTGCAGAATACTCATTCTCCACAAAGTTGTCCACAGCTTATCATAATCCACACAGTCAAAAACCTTTGCATAGTCAATAATGCTCAGGCAAATATCTTTCTGGTGTTCTCTGCTTTCAGCCAAGATCTGACACCAGCAGTGATAACACTCATCCCATGTTCTCATCTGAATCTGCCTTGAATCTCTGGCAGTTCCCAGTTAATGTATTGATGCAGCCATTTTTTACATTGTCTTTAGCAAAATTTTACTTGTGTGTGATATTAATTATATTGTCCGATGATTTCTACATTCATTTGATCACCTCTTTTTAGAATGGGCACAAATGTGGATCTCTTCCAGTCACTAGGCCAGGTAGTTGTTTTTCAGGTTTCTTGGTATAGTTGATTGAGTACCTCCAGTGCTGCCTCAGTTGAAAGATTTCAGTTTGCGTTCCAGCAAGTTCCAGAACTTTGTTCTTAGCTAATGCCTTCAGTGTACCTTAGACTTCTTCCTTCAGTACCATTGGTTCTTAGTCATTTGTTACCTCTTGAAATAGTTGAACATTAACCATTTCTTTTTGGTACAGTGATTCTGCATATTCTTTCTCATAATAAATGTTCAGTAAATGATAATTTATTAATACACAGTGTTATAGTCTTTGGTCATTTAAGCATATAGTAAATGTATTATATAATATTCTACTCATTTGAATTCATGTACTTTAATCATTGTTGTAAATAACAAATGTAATGTATAGTATGTGTTGTTGTTAAGTGCTACCGAGACAGTTTCGACTCATAGTTATCTTTATGTAGAGTTTCTGAGGCTGTAAATCTTTGTGGAAGCAGAAAGCCTCATCTTTTTCCTGTAGAGCAGCTATAGACTCAGACCGTGGACCTTGTGATTAGCAGTCCAGTGCTTATCCTACAGAGCACGGTGCTACCTATATATAGCATGTTATTAAGTGCCATCAAGATGGTTCTGACTCATAGCGACCCTATATAGTGTTTCCAAGGAGTGGCTGGTGAGTTTGAACTGTTGACCTTGCAGTTCAAATCCACCTTGAGGTTGAGTGCTTATCCTATAGTATCATACCAGGACTGCATGTATAGCATACAAAATAGATTTATTAAGTCAGACAAGGCTTTCTCTTCCTTCATGAAGAATAATATTAAGTCCTCCTTAGGAAATTTTTCCTCTGTTGCTAAGAAGCCACTAAATAACTGCTCAAATTCTACTTGTCACTTAGAAAAACCATTCTGATAAAGTCAGTACATACACAACAAATAACTCTAAAATAGTCTTTCATTTCTAGCATAAGTCTGCCATTTTACCTTGAAACTGAGACCTACCAAAAAAAGCATATATACAGTATTTTAATGATTTGGCATATGAGAATTATTCTAAATATAAACTGACTTACAGTAGTGTCTAATATGGACTATGAACCACAAGGTTGGTGGCTCAAGCCCACCAACTGCTCTGTGGGAGAAAGATGAGACTTTCTGCTCCTACAAAGATTTAAAGCCTTGGAAACCTTAAGCAAGGTCCACTATGAGTTGGAATTAACTTGATGGCACTTAACAACAATTATTATTTATGGACATATTTTTCTTAGTATTCTTGAGACTTTAATTTAACATAATACATAATTTAAATAGCAGAACAAATATATATACTATATTGCAGCTCTAAGTTACTCTTTTTTCCAAGTCTGTCAGAAAACTTTCACATGTTGAATTATATTATCATAGTAACATCCAAACTTTCGAATATACATCAATTTTGCTATCTCATTAAGTGGACAGATAAAACTTGTAGTTTAAAAGTAAACACTTTGACACAAAATAATTTCATTTGGCTTTTAATTAATACAAAAAGGCATAGCTTGCTTAATAAATGGAGTCATTTTGAACTTCTCTTCAAGGTTTAGGGAGGAGGGATTCTGAGAAAGATGTGAAGAGCAGTGTCTACTAGTGACTATTGTTGTTCTGTAGAGTTGGGCCAACTCATAGTGACCCTACATAGGTTTTTGAGAGCAGCTGGTGGGTTTGAACTGCTGACATTGAGGTTAGCAGCCCAGTGCTTATCTTTCAGTGGCCACACCAGGGCTCTTAAGCAGTAGAAATATTTTATGAACTACTGAGCGTTTATACTGTTCATGTTGTTGTTGTGAAGTGCCATCAAGTTGGTTCCAACCCATAGTGACCCTGTATAGTGTTTCCAAGGAGCAGCTGGTGAGCTTGAATCACCAACTTTGTGGTTCAAAGAGACTTTGCAGTCCAGCGCATTAACCCACAGCGCCACACCAGGACTCCAAAAACCTACAGCACCCAGTATTCCCAGGCATTCTCCCATCCAAGCACTAACGAAGCCTGACCATGCTTAGCATCTGCGATCAGATGAGACTGGATGCATTCAGAATGGTACGGCTGTAGGACACTGTTGATGTAGATTGAAGGAAAAACCATTTGGGAGGAGAAAGGAGGAAGTTAATATCAATTGGTCTTCATTTATTCATCCACTTAGGAAACATTTACCAAGTACTTATTGTATGCTAGACATTATGCTAAATACTGGAGAGCCTAAGGAAAAACAAATTCTACCTTCAAGGAGCGTGGTCTACTGGGGGAAGCATATCCCCACAAAATATACAGTCCTAATCCCCAGTACTTGTGACTATGACCTTGTTTGGAAAAAGGGTTGTCAAAGATGTTACCAGTTTAAGGTAAGGCCATACTGGAGTAGGGTCCTAATCTAATGAGTGGTGTCGTTATAAAAAGAGTGGGAAAGGCAGACCTACAGGACAAATGCCACTTAAAGATGTGGACAGGGATTGGAAATGATGCATCTTTGACCTGCCAGGGAATGTCAGAGGTTACCAGAAACTACCAGAAGTGAGGAAGGGTCAAGGAAAGATCTTCTAGATCCTTAAGAAAGAACATGACCATCCTGGAGCCCTGAAGTCAGACTTCTGGCAACTCCCCATCTCACATACTTTAGACATGTTACCTGGAGAAGGGCATCATGCTTGATAAAGTAAAGGGTCAAGAAAGGAAACGCAGCTAAGACTCTGGTGGTACAACAGTGAATACCTGCCATCAGGACTGACTGTGATGGCTGGAAATGTAGAGGCAGATTTTTTTTTTTCTTTTTTTTTTTTTTTTTTGGCAAAAGGAGGAGATTGATTGATTTTTGCAGCCCAGGAGCGGAGGTCCCTGGGACCATCAAGGGAGAAGAGCAGAAAGTGTGACCCTACCGAGAGGCAGTGAGGCCAGGCATGGAGACAGAGATGATGGCATGGACAGTTGAAGTGGCTGGGGACCAGGGACTCAGGGAGGGAGAGGAGCTGTTTGCTGACAGCAGGGGGGCGGGGCGGGCTTGTGGGGTGTATCTTTTGGTTATTTGATGATGCGTGGAGGGGATTGTAATCATTGCAATGAAATGAAATATGATAGGATGAATGTGAAGCTGAAGTGGGACAGAGGCAAGTAATGATGTATGCACAACCTTGGAACAACAGGGCTCTGGAATACAGAGATTGAGACAGGGTTGGAATGGGAAAAAGGTGGGGAAATATGTTAAGATACTTGGCTGTCTTTTGAATTTTGGTTTCCCTAGCATACCACTATAAAATAGTCATTGGAGGGGGAGAGAAAGGAATAGCCAGAAATATTACCATAGAAAGCTTGTAAGCCCATCTTCTACCTATAACTGATTGGAATACCTAAAATGGGGCTACAACGTGCCCAGTGAAGGAGGCTTCCTACAGAGCCCTGCATTACACAAGACCATAGGTGGAATCCTGAACAGCATCCAGAATCTTCTGAGGGGAAATTTCCACTTGAAAGGACAAGCAGACCAGCCTGGAGCAGCCAGAAGAACAGAAGACACTTCCTGAAAGAAAGACTGACAGGAAAAATACAAAACAATAGAGGCATACCAACTAATTACTAATTACGAGCAAGTTGCTTGTCCAGGAAACATCAAGGCAAGTGGTTGGGTCCCCTCAGGGAAAACCTCCTTCCAAGATTAAGACTCAGTGGGAATAAACTCTGATTGGTGACCACGTTCGTCACCAATAAGAGGAAGTGAGGGAAAAGCAACAATGAAGCTGCGAGCTAAGCCCTACAACGTTCAGTAGACTCCTGTGAACCCGGCTGGAGGAGACCTGGTTGGTCAGCAGTGTGGCAAGTCCAGAGGACTCTTGGACCCAGAGTCAGTGACATAGCCTCAGAGGACTAGAATGGAGAATGAAGCATCCAGCTGATAAGAAGAGAGGGCATATGCATAAGTACCGTACACTTGTTGATAATACCCACTTGACGTGGCTTCAATGAATGGATGATCAGAGCTCAACTAGAAGAAGAAAGAAGAGGGAAAATACAGTAATCTGATACAATTTGATGAACTTGAACTATATCTATGGATACAGTAGCTCAAAAGAAGGAACAAATCTTCATGGCGAGGAACATTCCCACCCCCTCCACATATGGAAAGGACAGGGATGGGCAACTTGGACATTGGCTACCCAGAATGGGGGGTGGGGAGGAGGCTACAGAGGCAAGAAGTAACTGGCTTACAAGCTTTCAAGAGGGAGCCTAGATCCAGAGGGCATGGAGGAAGGTAGACTCTCCACTGAGTAGTATCCAGTCTGTCTAGGCGGGGCTGATGAAAGGAGATGCGGATAGGTCTCATGGAATACATTGGTGAATAATTGTTATCAGGACTGATTGTAAGGGCTGGGAATGTAAAGGCAGACATTTTGTGGCAAAGGGAGGGAAGTGATTAACTTTGCAGTCTAGTAGTGGAGGTCTCTGGGACCATCAAGGGAGAAGAGTGGAGAGCTGGACCCTACCCAGAGAAGCAGTGATGCCGGAGATGGAGGCAGAGACGATGACGTAGAGAGATGGATCAGCTGGGGACTTTGGGCCCGGAGAGGGAGAGGGCCTGTGTGCTGACAACTGGGGGGCAGGCTTGCCGGGTATACCCTTTGGTTGGTGGATGATGCATGGAGGGGATTGTAACCATGACAAGAAAACAATATACGATGGGATCAATGTGAAGCTAATGTTCTCCCATGTAAACTATCCCATAATTCACAATAAAATAGTTTTTTAAAAGTTGTTGTTATTGTAAAGTAGAGCGTCAGTATAAAAGAGGAAGATCCTCAACAAGATAGGTTGACACCATGGCTACAACAGTGGCTCAAACAGCCATGATTGTACGGTTGGTGCAGGACCAACTGAACAGGCAGTGTTTGATTCTGTTAGACATGGAAACTGACTCGACAGCACCTAACAACAACAACAACAACAAATCCTACAGAACTGAGAGACAAGAAATTTCTGTATTAAGCCTCTCACTTTGTGCTACTTTGTTATGGCAGCCTTAGGAAAGTCGACACCTGTGAAGGGTATGATGTTGTAAAGGTGCTATTATAGAGGTAGGGATAGAGGTGTAAAATGGAGGGAAACTCCAATTTAAAGGTCTCTTTGGCTTGTTTTTTTGTTGTTAAATGCTGTCGAGCTGGTTCCAATTTATAGCAACCCTGTGTAGTATTTCCAAGGAGCAGCTCGTGGGTTTGAACTTCCAATCTTGTGGTTAGCAGTGCAGTGCTTATCCTACAGCAGTTCCTGGATTATTTGATTCTAAGAACACAAATTCATTCAACCACTATTACTGAGATTACAGTAATCTCAGTACTACTCAGGCAATATAGAAATCCTTGAAAAATTAAATCAGAGCTCTCCACGAGAACAGGAAGCTCATCTGGGTTTGAACATATTTTGCCATTAGTATGACTTAACTTCTTTGCCAGTGTCTGCTGCTCTCTGTGTGTATCTGCTGCTTCTCTTGGTACCAACTGACTTCATTCTCTACAGCAAATCTTTTTTTAATCCAGTTATTTCTCTTACTAATAGCATTTGCAACCTTGTACCTTTTGTTTACTTGGCCTTTTACAGACCTGGACTCTACCATTGTAATTAACTTCAGCTTTGAGTACTCACTGCCTGATTTCTCTATGTGGTCCCGGAAGCTCCTGACAGCGAGACTATGATTGCCTTACCTCATCCTATTAAAGCAACCATAGGCAGGCAGCCTGGGGACAGTGCTACAAAGAGTGTGTGTTCAGGGTGGGAGGGGTACAGAATACGGCTATTCCTTTCACAGATGCTAGATGCAGAACAACCTCCTTAGAAGGGACTCGAAGTACGAAAAGAATTGTGTTGTTGTTAGGTGCCATTGAGTCAGTTCCAACTCCTAGCAACCGTTTGTACAACAGAACGAGACACTGCCTGATTCTGTAGTATCCTCACAGTCGTTGCTATGTTTGAGGCCATTGTTGCAGCTACTGTGTCAAACCATCTCATTGAGGGGCTTTCTCTTTTTCACTGACTCTCTATGAAACATGATGTCCTGCTCCAGATAACATCTCCAAAGTACCTAAGATAAAGTCTCAACATCCTCACCTCTAAGGTGCATTTTGGCTGTACTTTCAAAGCAGATTTGTCCACTCCTCTGGAAGTCCATGTTCTAGTCAATAGTCTTCCTCAACACCAGAATCCAAAGACATCATTTATTCCTCAGATTTCTTTATTCACTGCCCATCTTTGACATGCATACAACGTGATGGAAAATAGCATGACTTGGGCCAATGCACCTTAGTCCTCAAAGTGACGTCTTTGCTTTTTAAAACTTTGCTTTGTTTACTCATCTAGACTGAGATGCTTTTACCAACGAGGTATTCCACAAATGATGAGGATCCAAAAGTTTTGTCTAAGAGTTCCTCATCTGCATTCGTTATACAGACATGTTTGAATAAAAGCATTTGTTTTATTATGTGATTTTTGTTGCTGTTGCTTTTCAGTTTAAAATTCATCACCCTGATAGTGAAGAGCTTGCCTTTATGTATGGAACTATACTGACAGATGGAAAAGATACTTACAGTGAAGAACCAACCACCAATATCTGTGTGTTTGCCGATGAGCAGGTATTTTTTAAAAAATTTTTTATATGAACCAGGTGGAGGTTTACAGAGCAGATCAGTTTTCCATTCAAGAATGCACACACGTTTTTATTCTTGTCACTGATTACAGTTCCCACACTGTAACATCACATATCCAACTCCCACCCTGGGTTTCTTGTTTCCATTCCACTTTCTTTCCTAACCCTTCTGACCTTTGCCTTTGGGTAAATGCTGCCATTTTCATCTCAAATGGTTGATTGTTTTAAGAGAGCATACCTTCCTAGTACCATGGCTTCCTTTATGTTGTGGTGGTTAAGTGCCATCGAGTCGGTTCTGACCCATAGCAACCCTGTATAGGGTTTCAGAGGAGTGACTGATGAGCTTGAACCGCCGACCTTGGGGTTCAGGTCAGCTTTGCAGTTAAGCGCATTAACCCAGAGCACCACACCCAGACTTCTTGCTTCCCATAGAGGAAGCCCTATTGTTGGGCTGAAAATTGAGCCATGGGGGTCAGTTCATTTCGAGACCTGAAGGCGGACTGAGGGCCACAGTCTTGGGGGTTCCACAGGTCTCTGTCCAACCAGTAAGCCTGGTCATTTTAAAGATTTTAAGTTTTATTCCATACTTTTCTCCCATTGTATCCAGGATCTTCTAATGTGATCCATTTTAGAGCAGTTGCCTGACACTGTCTGGTTCTTCTGATCAGATGAGCAGGTTTTAAAATTGTAATTTTAAGTACAGAAGCCAGAAAAATTATAGAAGAATTCCATTATCTTTGAATTCCATTTTTCCATGATCATTTTGAAGCCCCCTCATATGGAAGTAAAACTTTATTCTCACCTCGGCTAACCACCCAGCCTTTGTAGGTCCCAGTTTCTTCTGCTCAAGAAACGAAGAATGCTTGCCTTGTCTGTCTCACTGGGGCATCGCTCTGCGGTTCATGTGAGACAGCAGGCCAATGAGGGACACCATAAGGAGTCCTGCCTTTTTCTCTGTGCCCAGGATACATGTATGACACATGTCTAGTATCAGGTTCTTGGGAGTTAGACGACAGAATTTTATTGAGCGAAGTCAATATGAAATGTGCTTTACAAGTAGACTTCCTGTTTCCACTAGGGAAGTTCCCTATGTGACCCATATAAGGAATGAACTAGCCAGATCCTGGAGTCCTGGTGGGATGCTGTAGGAGTATTGGACTGCTAACCACAAGGTTGGTGGTTCAAACCAACCAACTGTTCTTAGGAAACCCTAGACAGACCACTGTAAGTCAGAACTGACTCACTAGCTGCACTTAACAACTATCCAGATTTCACATGATCAGGAATTTTGACCTCTACTTGTCTGTTCTGATGTGGCATTGTATGTAAGTTAAGCACTTGACTGCTAACCACAAGGTTGGTGTTTCAAACCCAGCAGCCACTCCTCAGAAACTCACTGTGAGTTAGAACTGACTGCACAGCACTTAACAGTCACAACAGCAACAGTCTGTTCTAAGGCGACTGGTTTTCCTCTTTTATAAACACAGTCATTTTGAAATGCAGTTTATATACCTCAGAGAGTCTGCTATGCATTGGGATATTTTTTGATACACAATCTATTTGAAACAGTATAAGCCTGTTGCTATTTTGTGCTGCATAGGGTTCCAAGGAGCGACTGGTGTGTTTAAACTACCAACCTTGCAGTTCAAACTGACATGGCGGTCCTTTGTTTATACTACAGAGCCACAAATGCTTCTTCTCCATTCCTGATATTTCCCTGCCCTGTGAAGGGGCTCCCAACTAGCATACCCTTCCTGGCTTCCACCACCACATTCTCCGTGTCCCAGGGCAGGAGGAGGAGGGGTGTTAACCAGTGGGGGAGTTTGAGAGAAGAAATTGGATTGTAGGTGATGCTTGCAGAATGTAGGTGTACCACACTGCTTCTCCAAGGGCTACGGAGGCTAAGTAGCCCACCTATTTTGGGATGTAAGGAGCTCTGGTAGCGTAGTGGTTACAAATCGGGCTGCGAGCTGCAAGGTCAGCAGTTCGAAACTACCAGCTGCTCCGCGGGAGAAAGATGAGGCGTTCTGCTCCCATAAAGATTTCCAGCCTTAGAAACCCTGTACAGGGTCGCTGTGAGTCAGAACTGACTCCACGGCACTTAACAACAACAACAACAATTTTGGGATGTGGCACTTGTATACTCCTTTCTTGCCGTCTTCCAGCAGCCTTTACGAGCAGTGAAAGTGATGTTTTGGTCTTTACCTGCATTCCTTCGCTGTTGTTGCTAAGAGTCAGTTCCTACTCACAGCAACACTGTATACAGTTTGCAAGGAGCTTCTTGTGGGTTTAAGCTGCCTGTCTTGTGGTTCGCAGTCCAGTGCTGATGGTACGTGTTTTACTACTTTGACATTTCTCTTTCAGTACAGAACTCAGGCAAGGAAGAAGGGTGCTTTTTGTGTGTGTTGTGTCTTCTAATGTCAGTGTTTTGGGTGATAATTTCTTTGAAGCGGAATTTTATCTCTGCTCATTTTAGTAATAAAAGGCAAGGTATTGACTTTACTGTGCAGCTTGTCACTGGTGCTATAGGTTTTCTATTCCGAAGTCCACTCAAAAGGCTTTCTTAGTTTGTTGTTACTTTGCATGAGAGTTACTACTGCTAAAGACATGTAGATTATAGGATTTTAATGAATTCCTTCTGTTCTTTAAAAATCTTTATCTTTAAGTTGACAGTATGAAATAATTTGAAGGCAATTGTGATTTGTAACAATTGTATCACATTGTATACATGTAATATTGTTTTACATCTAAAGACATATAAAAATATATACCGTAGGCAATTATATTTTACAGTTTATAGAAATTCATTTCTATATCAACCCTTAGTAAAGCAGCAAAAAAAAAAGCCCCCAGAAATATGATTTTATATCGTATTTATACCTTAAGATAATAAATTGTAATTCCCAAGGAATTCTGCAAAGACTGTATGTAATAAGATCAAGCATGCTATTTTTCATATTTTATCTTTAAATTTGCATACATATACTGATGATATACACACATTTGTTCTGAAACAGGTTGACAGAAGTCCTACTGGCTCAGGAGTGACTGCACGAATTGCCTTACAGTATCACAAAGGGCTTGTACAACTGAACCAGAGCAGAGCCTTTAAAAGCAGTGCAACTGGCTCAGTATTTACTGGGAAGGCCGTGAGGGTGAGTGGGTCCTTCACTTCTTGTTTGTAAGTGTGTTGTTTATGAGACAAAAGAGGCCTGAGTTGGATATTAAGATGAGTTTCTTCACTCAATTCTGAGAAGAGAATTTTAAAGTAGGCCTGTAAAAATCTGTTCAGCTAGGGCAGTGGTGATCAGAGGCCTCTGGTAGTGTCCAAATCTTTTCCAGGGATTCAACAGGATCAAAATTGTTTTTATAATAATTTTAAGACATTGAAAGCCTGGTATGGCGCTGTGGTATAAGCACTGGACTGTTAACCACAAGGTTGGCTGTTCAAACTCACTAACCATTCCTTAAAAACCCTACATAGGGTCACTATGAGTTGGAAACGACTCCATGGCACTTACCAACAACAAAACGCAACAATTAAGACATTGTTTGTTTTCCACGCTTTTCTCACGAGTGAACCCTGAAATTCTCCAGAGGATGAATGATGTGTGACATCCCAACAGATTGTATGCAGAAGCAGATAGGAGAATCTAGCTGTCGTCTATGAAACCAGGCAATAAAGAAATTTGCAAAAATATAAAGTAATGCTACACCATTAAATGTTTTATTTTGAATTTTTTTTTTCAAAAAAATAAAGTTGTTTATAATGGGTTTATTATTTTTCAAACCCATTAATAAGTATTTTTAAAATCTCTGTTTAAATTGCCAATGCAAATTCAATAAATACTGATGTTTAAGCTACATAAACAAAAACATTTTTATGTTCTCAAATTTAAGATAAAAAGGGCTACTCTTGGGACCTTCATCTGCCAATGGGGCACAACTCATAATGAGGAGAAACAGCTGCAAATATCCATTAATAATCAGATCATGGAATGTACGAAGTATTGTATCTACCTACAAAGTGTGAACTTCCAATCAGTTAAATTGGAAGTTGTCAAAAATGAAATGGAGTGCATAAAGATCAATAACCTAGGCATTAGTGAGCTATGAAATGGACCACTTTGACACTGATAATCATATGGTTTATTATGACTGGAATGTCAAATTGAAGAGGAATGGCATCACATTCATCATCAAAAAGAACATTTCTAGATCTAAAAGTATAATGCTGTCTGTGATAGGAAAATATTCATATGTCTACAAGGAAGACCAGTTAATACCACTATTCAAATTTACACACCAAACACTAAATCCAGTGATGATGAAATTGAAGAATTCTACCAACTTCTTCAATCTGAAATTGATCAAACATGCAATCAGGATGGATTGATGATTACTGGCGACTGGAATACAAAGGCTGGAAATAAAGAGGAAGGATCAGTAGTTGAAAAATATGGCCTTGGTGACAGAAGTGATGCTGGAGATCTAATGATAGAATTTTGTGAGACCAATTATTTATTCATTGCAAAAATCTTTTAAACAACATAAAAGGCAGCTATAACCATATACCTCACCATATGGAGTACAGAGAAATCAAATTTTCTAAACAACATAAAAGACAGCTATACACATGGACCTCAGCAGATGGAAAAAACAGAAATCACGAAGATTACATCTGTGGAAAGGGACATGGAAAAGCTTGATATTGTCAGTTAAAAAAAGGCCAGGGACAGACTGAGAAACAGACCATCAATTGCTCATATACAAGTTCAGGTTGAAGCTACAGAAGACAAGTCCGCGAGAACCACAACATGACCTTGACCATATCCCACCTGAATTTAGAGATCATCTCAAGAATAGATTTGATGCATTAGACACTAATGACTGAACACCAGAAGAGTTGTGGGATGATATCAAGAAAAACATACAGAAAGAAAGCAAAAGCTCCTTGGCAATACAAGAAAGAAGGGAAAGACCAAACTGGATGCCAATAGATATAAAATGTGTCACTATATAAGAACCAAAGGAGCTCTGGTAGCGTAGTGGTTACGAATCGGGCTGCCAACCTCAAGGTTAGCAGTTCGAAACTACCAGTGGCTCCGAGGGAGAAAGATGAGGCTTTCTGCTCCCGTAAAGATTTACAGCCTTGGAAACCCTGTACAAGGTCGCTATGAGTGGGAAACGACTCCACAGCACATAACAACAACAAAATTTAAGAACCATCCCTTGAAACCACTATGCATATAAGAGCATAAAATGCTGAACATTTATAAGTATTTAACTTGTGCTGAAAATGTAGAATTTGCATCTTGTAGGTAAAAATAAAAAAATAAATTAGAAAACCCCAAATAAATATGTATTTGTTTTAAAAAAAAAAAAAAAGAGAGAGATTCAGAAATTTGCTCTGCAGCATAGAGATGCCAAAGCAAATGGAACAGATGAATATAATCTGTATTCACTGGGAACGCTGTGAGGGTGCATGGCACCCTTCACTTCTTTCTTTCTTTCTTTCTTTCTTTCTTTCTTTCTTTCTTTCTTTCTTTCTTTCTTTCTTTCTTTCTTTCTTTCTTTTCTTTCTTTTCTTTCTTTTCTTTCTTTTCTTTCTTTTCTTTCTTTTCTTCTTTGAAACATAACTTTATTCTGGTTCTAAATGGTAAGGAATGGGAATGACATAACAAATTATTTCACCATTAAATAGTGTAATGAGACTTGTCTCTCATACTTCAGACATACTATCAGGAGGGACCAGTCCCTGGAGAAGGACGTCATGCTTGGTAAAGTGGAGGGTCAGAGAAAGAGAGGGAGACCCCTAATGAGATGGATTGGCACAGTGGCAGCAGCAGTGGGCTGAGGAGCAGCAACGACTATGATATTGGTGCAGGACTGGGCAACGTTACGTTCTTTTGTACGTAAGGTTGCTGAGTGGGAAAAAAACTCAAGAACAGCTAACAACAGCAACAATATGTGTCCTTTTCTGATTGACTTGTTTCACTTTGCATAATGTCCTCTAGGTGCACCCTCATTATAAGGTGCTTGTTGGAGTCATCATTGTTCTTAACATTGTGTATGTAATATACTAAAGTTTGTTTCTCCATTCGTTCATTGATGAATATTCAGGTTGTTTTCATTATTTTGACATTATGAATAGTTCTGCAATGAACCTGGGTGTGCATATATCTATCTTTACCTGGCTCATTTTTCTAAGATATATACCAAGTATTGCTGGGTCATATAGTATTTCTATTTTCAGCTTTTGAAGGAAGCACCAGATAAGGTTCTTGTACTTATCTGGTTCCTGTTCATTTTCCACAGCGGTTGCCCCATTTTGCAGTCCCACCAGCAATGGACAAGGATTCTAGCCTCTCCACACTCTTACCAGCATGTGTTGGTTTCTGGGTTATTGAACTTTGTTATTAATGCTGGGGTGAGATGATATCTAATGGCTTATGATCACAAGCATTTCTTTATATTTTTTGGCTGCCTGATTGTCTTCTTTGGTGAAGTGTCTGTTCATGTCCTCTGCCCATTTCTAAACACTTGTTGAGGTGTTGAGATTTTCTGTACATTGTAGAAAATGGTTCCTTGTCCATTATATCATTGACAAAAAAATTACCTGTCTGTGGGTTTTCTTTTTACTGTTTTGGTGAAATCTTTTGATGCACATAAGTGTCTACTTTGTGTGTTTTTAGGTATGTTTGATAGTATGAAATCTGTTATTGTCCTAAGTTTGTCCCTGTTTTTTCATTGATGATCTTTATAGTTCTAGGTTTTACATTTAGGTTTTTAAACCATCATTAGTTAATTTTTGTATATGTCATAAATATGGGTCCTTTTTCGTTTTTCTGCAAATAGAGATTCAGTTTTGTCAGCACCTTTTGTTAAAGAGACTATCTGTTCTCCCAAGTAATGCATTTTGGCCCCGTGTAAAAGATCTGCTCTTCATAGGTAGATGGACTTACTTCTGGGTTCTCAATTCTGTTCCATTGATCTATGTGTCTTTCATTGTACCACCAGTACCAGGCTGTTTTGACTATACTGTGACTATGGTGTGGGTTTTGAGATCAGGGAGTATAAAACCTTTTACTCTGTTTTTCTTCTTTTGTAGTGCTTTACATAGCCAGAGTCTCTTTCCTTTCCATACAAAGTTGATTTGTTTTTGTCTCTCTTTAAAGAATGGTTTTGAAATTTTGATTCAGGTTGCATTATATCTGTAGATCACTTCGAGTATTATTGACAGTTTCACGGTGTTCAGTTTTCCTATCCATGAGCACGGTATAGTCTTCTTTTGGTTTCCTGTAGTAATGCTTTGTAGTTTTCTTTGTATAGGTCTTTTGTTTCCCTTATTAGATTTATTCCTAAGTGTTTTATCTTTGGGGTGGTCATTATAAATGGCTTTAAACAATGCCGGATTTCCTTTTCAGAGATCTCTTTGTTAATATAGAGGAATTGACTCTGCCACTTTGCTGAATCTTTCAATGAGTTCCAATAATTTTCTCATTGAATCTTGAAGATTTTCTATGTGTAGGGTCATTGTTGTTGTTGTTGTTGCACTGTCGAGTCGATTCCGACCCATAGCGACCCTGTATAGGGTTTCCAAGGAGCAGCTGGTGAGCATGAACCGCCAATTGTGCAGTTCAAATGGCTTTGCAGTCTGGCATATTAACCCACAGCGCCACACCAAGATTCCAAATAAAGACTTAATTCTTCTTTGCCAACTTGGATTCCTTTTATTTCCCTTTCTTGCCTTATTGCTCTAGCTAAGACATCTAGTACAATATTAAATAGGAGTGGTGATAAAGGGTATCCTTATCTGATTCCTATTCATATGTCTTTCTCCTTTGAGACTCATGTTGACTCTTGGTTTTGTGTATATTTTCTTAATTATGTTGAGGAGTTTTCCATCTACTTGTATTTTGTTGAGGTTTTTTTAATTCAGAAATGGGTGTTGAATATTGTCAAATGTCTTTTCTGCTTTCATGTGTTATGATATGATTAGATAATATTGATGTGATCATATGGTTCTTTTCCTTTGTTTTATGTGATGGATTTTGTTGGTTGTTTTTCTAATGTTGGCTCATCCTTGCATATATCTTATATGAATCCCAATTGGTCATGATGTTTTGTTTTGATATGTTGTTGAATTGTGTTGGCTAGGATTTTGTTGATAATTTTTACTTCTGTGCTCAGGAAGGATATAGGTCTATAATTTTCTTTTTTAGTCATATCTTTGTCTGGTTTGTATCAGGGTTATGCTCATATCATAAAATGAACTAGAGGGTATTCCATCTTTTTCTATTTTCTGGAATAGTGTGAGCAGATTTGGTATCAGCCTCTTCTCTGAATATTGAGTAGAATTTGAAGCTATCTGGGCCAGACTCATTTATTTCTTATTCAGAAATTTAGAACACATTGTCTTATGCATTTGAGGCCAAAGATACAGTAATAATCTATATTTATTGGGTGATTTGCATAGATTGCTCTCCAAATTAATCACTTTATAATGTTAGCTCATTTAATCCTCACAAGAACCCTAGAAGACCAGTACTGTTATCCTTTATTGTTGTTGTTGTTGTTAAGTGCCTTCGAGTCGGTTCCGACCCATAGCGACCCTGTACAGGGTTTCCGAGGGTATAAATCTTTACGGGAGTAGAAAGCCTCATCTTTCTCCCGCGGAGCGGCTGGTAGTTTCGAACCACTGACCTCAAGGTTCGCAGCCCGATTCGTAACCACTACGCTACCAGAGCTCCTTGTTATCCTTTATTAACAGGTGATAAAATCTAGAATGAGAGAGGTTGTGTCATTTGCCAGAGGTCAAACAGATAGTAGAGAGCCAGGATGTGAAATTGGGTCTCTGAGCCCAGATCCAGTGTTGTTCACTGCATTATCCTATTAGACAAAGCACAAGTTTTCAATGAGGCTTCATATTATTGCAGTTTTTAAAAATATAATAATTGCACCTTAGTCTAAAATTTGACATTTTAGCTTGGAACCTCAGTTATTTATATTTTTAAAAATTAGAAAAGGTTCCTCTGTAATTAAGTTCTGAAGTCATTTGATTTATAGTTATTAATCACACTTGCCAAAATATCTTTGCTTGCATCATACTCCTTCCTTCTGTCTGGGCCCTTCCTGGCTGATTGTGCCTTTTCAGTCCCTTTCCCTGCTTCCACTTCATTTTCATGTCCTTCCACTCAGGTAGCCCCAGCATTTATCCTTAGCCTCCTTCTTCTCTCACTTACCTGCATTTTGATGACCCCTTTTGAAGCTTCAGCCCATCTGTTATTGATGATTTCCAAACTTCAGTCCCCTTCTCTCCTGTCTCTGGACCCCCACTATCACTGTGCTGAACTCTAATTGATAATCCCAGAGGTATCTCAAACTCAGTTTCTTAAAATGTTCTCTCTTCCTTCTTAAATGGACTCTTCTTCTCATTCCCATCTTTGTTGATGGCATCACATACTTCACTTCCAGGCTTGAAACTGTGGGTGCTGTTACTTTATTCCTGTTCCTCTTCTATCACAAACAGCAGTCACTGGGTCTGTCTTCCAAAGTGTCTCTTCTTCCTCTCTAACTACTACCCTAGTAACTGGATTCCATCAGTGAGTTAGAATAGCCTCTTAACAGGTTTCTGGGTTTCTAATCTTTTTCCTCTTTACAACGGAACTTACTTAAACTAAGTTTCATCATATCATTCTTCTGAAGACCTTCCTTTGCCTGTGGGACTAATCTTTAGATTTTCTTTAACATGATTTTTTTAAAAATCACAAATCTAATTTTCAGGACAGGTACAAGTGCAAATGTTGATATGCGCTCTTCTGTTTGTTTGTTTTTCCCCAGGAAGCAAAATGTGGTGATTTTAAAGCTGTTACAGTGGAAGTATCAGGACAAGCCCATTACATGGGTACAGCAAGCTTTATAGTAGAAGATGATGACCCACTGAAGGATGGATTTCTGCTCAAGTGACTTCTTCCATGACTTTTAAGGGCCTTTAAAATGTTTTAATCTTTGAGTAATTTTTCTCTAAATCATGTGGAAAACAATATCTGATGTTAATACAAGTATGCTAACTTCCATTTTTCTAAAATAGTACCTTGTGGCTAAATATAAAGTCACTGTGCTTCATAGTTTAGGAGCCCTGATGGTGACGTGCTGTCTGAAATGTTGGCAGCAGCCGCCCCACGGGAGTAAGATGTGGTACTCAGCTTCTGTGAGGATTTACACAGTATGTCGTAGATTTCCTGACTGCTGCTTCCATGAGCATTGATTGTAAATGAAATCCTTGACAACTTTGATCTTTTCTCCATTCATCATGATGTTGTGTATTGATTGGTCCAGTTGTGAGAGTTTTTATTTTCTCTACATCGATGAGTAATCTGTGCAGATGGCTGTAGTCTTTGATCTTCATCAGTAATAAGTAGGTGCTTCACGTCCTCTTTGCTTTCAGCAAACTATCTTCTGTTATATGCATATCACAGACTGCTAATGAGCTTTGCTACAGTCCTGATGCCACGTTCTTTATATAGTTCAGCTTCCTGGATTATTTGCTCGGCATACAGATTGAGCACCGGCACACACCTTTCTTGATTTTAAACTACACAGTGCCCCCTGTTCTGTCTGAACAGCTATGTACAAGTTCCTCATGAGCACAATTAAGTGCTCTGGAATTCCCATCCTTCACAATGTTATCCATAACTCAATATGACCAAGTATTTTACAGATTAGGACATTTGCTATACTTCTTTTTAAGGTAAATATAGAATGACTATTTTTCTCTCCAAATTTTGCAGGTCATAAAACAAAACAGCATACATTTTTTTTAAATTGTAATTTTAGAGCATTTTGTAATGTGTCATTACATACATGCTCTACTTTACTGAAATACACTACCACATGCTAGGTATCATTTTGTTGTGCATTTCAGTAAATTCACTACACTGATACATGCATTATCATCTACTAAGGGTGTGGAGAGCTCCTGGTGGGGTGCTGGAGGATAAGCACTGGACTGCTAATTGCAAGGTCAGCAGTTCAAAACCACCATTCACTCCTTGGAAACCATGCACAGGGTTGCTATGAATCTGAACTGACTTGATGGCACTTAACAAGACAACAAGGGTGTGGAGAAGTCCTGGGGTGGCACTGTAGGATAAGCACAGGATTGATGATCACAAGGTCGATGGTTCAAGCCCACCCTGGTTCTTCAGCATAAAGATGAGGCTGTCTGCTCCCATAAAGATTTACGGTGTCAAAAACCCTAAGTCGGGTCAGTATGAGTTGGAATCAACTTGATGGCAGTGGGCTTGGGCGAAGGTGTGGAGGAGGACTTTATCACTGACGCTGTTTAGTATTATCAGCCCTGGGCAATAATAAAAATCAGACATGTTTTATGAAGGTTTTAAAATTCTCTTCAGACAGCACCCTGCTTGACCAGCTGCACATAGGCAGACCACGCCACTGCCCTGCCCTTGGTTGTTATTGTTGAAGACTGTCGAGTCGGTTCTGAGCCATAGCACCCCTGTATAGAGTTTCTGAGGAGCGGCTGGTGAGCTTGAACTGCCTGCCTTATGGTTCAAACCAACTTTGTAGTCCAGCGCATTAACCCACAGCGCCACACCAAGACTCCTGAGCTTCGTATACCACTGCTCTTTATTCAGTTTACACATTTGAGGGAAATGTGTTCAACATGTTAAATAACTGGGAGAAGGTCATGTTGTTAGTTGCAGAGGGATAGGCCCCTGACTTATGGTGACCCCATGTGTTATAAACTAGAACTGCACCATGGGTTTTTCTTGCCTGTGTGGCGTTGTAGGATAAGCGCTGGAACCCAAGGTTGGTTTGAATTCCAAGGTCGGTGGTTTAAACTCACCAGCCACTCCTTGGAAACCCTCATACAGGGTGGATATGCATGAGAACCAACTAGACAGCACTTAATAGCAATCTTTATGGAAGCAGTTCACCTGGCCTTTCTTCTTGGCAGCACGAGGTGGATTCAAATCTCCACCCTTCAGGTTAGCATCCGATTGCAAGCTGTGTGCACCAGCCAAGCTCTTTAAGGTCACATTAGAAAACAAACAAACATAAAATAAGAAGGAATGGGAACAGGAAACAGAGAGGAAGTGGGATAATTGAGCCTACATGGACTGTGGGGACTGCATTCAGTGACATGAAATAAAATAATGTGTATGATTTGTTGAATGGAAAACTGATCTGCTCTGTAAACCTTCGCCCAATTCACAATAAAAAATTAATGTTTTAAATCAACATAGTGCTCTCAAATGAATCCCAACCCCAGTGACCCCCATAGGGCAAAGTAGTACTGTCCTACGGGTTTTCCCAGGCTGTGTTTTTCTTTTTTGAGATCAGAAAGACTCACATTTTATTGTTCCAATACTTTGGCAAGTGGCAAAAAGCAATTAGCTAGGAAGCACTTCCATAAAGATTGGGAATGAAGGTAGTAAAAATAGGATGTAATCAGACAAGTAATAAAGGTATACAAGGCACTTGTAACTGTCACATCAAAAAGGGGACAATCTTTCTCCATGAATACAGGTGTTTTATGTCAACAAACAAGGTCAGGTCCCAGTGAAGTTCCTTCTCAACCAGAGACCTAACTTTTTCATTCACATTTCATTCCTTCCTTGCAGGTGATAAATCAGTGGTTTCTTGCCTTCCTGGTGCTCCCTGACACAGTGGCTGTGGATGAGTGCTCTGTACTCTCCTCAGGTCTGTGTGTTGCAGCTGGGAGAACAAATGGGTGTTGCTGACATGCTGTTCATGTAGAAAGGCATTCACTTAATGGAAGGAGGATCAGTGAACACTGGCCTAATGCTTTGATTTCCAAAGTGCCTACTATGGTCGGGTTTCTGAAGGTTTCCATCATTACATCTCTGTATGGTTGCTTCTCGGAAACATCCAGCAATTCCCACTCTTCTGGGTGAAGTCCACAGCCCCATCTTCAACAGCCCCGGAATCCATTTCCTGGCTCTGGCTCCTGAAGTCTTCAGTGAATGTGCTCTTTATGCACAAGAAGCAGGACCAGTAAGCAGCTTGGAGCCAGGTGAGTGATGTTTGGTCCGTACAGCCAGTCAGAGTAGTTGAAATCCGCAAGACATTTGTTCTCATCTGCAACTTTGTAGACAGGACTAATTTCTTTCTGTGCTACATCAGGGACCATACCTTGTTCCAGCTTCTGGAAGCCTAAGTGAATGTGTTCTTGAAGCTAGGAAACCACTATAGGAGGAGGGACAGGAGTGAAAGCAGAGCCCCTAGGCAGTTTGGAAGCAGATGAATGGTGATTGGTCCAACAACCAGTCAGAGCAGTTGAAATCCTTACTTGTCACTGCATGGATGGGCAAGATGGCTAGCCGCCTGTGGTCCCCAGCTTCCTACACTGGACTAGTTCTCCCTGCACCACACCTGGGACCTGTGGGACGGTTGCTGTGGATGCTCCTCCGGGTTGAGAGGAAAGCCAAGGCTGTAATTTTTAGGGAAGCAGAGTGTCACATCTTTTTTCTATAGAGTGAGTGACTGGTAGGTCCAAACTGCACTTAACTATGCCACCAGAGTTCCTTAACGGCACATTAAACAAAACAACCAATTGTCATGGAATCCACGCCAACTCAGAGCAACCCTACACAGGGGTTTCTGAGTCCATAAAAGACATATTGCACTGGACAAATCTGCAAAAGTCCTCTTTAAAGTGTTAAGAGTCAAAGATGTCACTTTGAGCACTATGGTGCAGCTGACGTAAGCTGCAGCATATTTTCAATATGAATGTGGATGCTGGGCAATTAGTAAGAGACCAGAGAAGAACTGGTGCATTTGAATTATAGTGTCGTGTCGGTAAAGAATACTGACTATACCATACATCGGAGCATGGTTTTCCTTGCTTAAAATCCATCAGCGACTAGTACCCTTGTCCCCTGCCCCACCTCCATCAAGTTTCTACTCCACTACATAGTATGCAAGGCCTTTTATTATAAGGCCCCAATAAACTTTGATAATTTATTTTCCTTTTTGCTTCCCACCTGTGTGTATCCTCGAATTCAGACACTTTGCACCAGTCCCCAAGAACCAAGTACTTTATCACCTTCAGACTTTGCCTACATTATCACATGCCCTGCCACCTCCCTTTTTTAAGACTGTCCAATGACACCTCTGATATGACATCACCAGTTCTTCTAGGAAGTCACTTCCATGAAATGGTGTCTCACTATATTGTTTTTACAATACATCGTGTTTTATTTACGTTTACCTCTGATGCTATGGTTGGGTTTCTGAAGGTTTCCATCATTACATCTCTGTATGGGATCTGTTATAGTTATCGTTGTAGTTCTGTCCAGTACTTCTGTACATTTCAGTTGGGATCCTTACTTATGGTACATTTAGTGGTTATGAATTGCGCTGCGAACCACAAGGTCAGCAGTTTCAAACTACCAGCTGTTCCGAGGGAGAAAGATGAGGCTTTCTGCTCTCGTAAAGATTTATAGGCTCGGAAACCCTGTACAGGGTCGCTATGGGTCGGAAGTGACTCCACAGCACTAAACAACAGCTACTCCATTAGGAGTCCCAGTGTGGCACTGTAGGGTAAGCACTCGACCATAAGGTTGATTTGAACTACAAGGTCATAGGTTCACACTCACCAGGTGCTCCTCCAAAACCCTATAGAGGGTCGCTGAGTCAGCACCAACTCTATGGCACTTAACAACAACCACACCAGTTGACATGAAGGATGGGACCCTGGAGTCCTGGTGTGGTGCTGTAGGAGAAGCACTGGACTGCTAACCCCAAGATTGGCGATTCAAAACCACTAGCTACTCTTTGGAAATCCTATACAAGGTCACTAAGTTGAAGTTAACTCCCCAACACTTAACAACAATAACAAATACGGGGCCCAAGAATCTGCATGTTTAACCAGTTTCTGGGTGTTGCTGCTGCTGTTGGTCTAGAGATCACACGTTTCAAATGGCCGCATTAGAGAAGGACCCAGGGTTAACCTGAGTGTTGATTATACTTCTCATTAGAGATCATGCCCTAAAACAGATGCAGCTTCCCTGAGCAGTCAAGCCTTTCCTATTCCTGAATCTCCCCAAGACAGATGCCAGGAGCAGCAACTGTGCTGACTGCCTGGCTGGCAGCAATTTACACTGCAAACCTGCCACCTTCCAGAGAACAGAGAGAGAAAGGCTGCCGGCAGGATCTCTTCTTATCCCCACCCACTACACATATGCAAGCCAGTTAACTTCCTGAAACCCATGCCTTTGGAAACCAGGTGGCATCCTTCCTCCAAGGTCCATATGCTAGTTCCTCAGCTCACTTGCATTAAAATCACCGATGACGTTTGGATTCCTGGGCCCATTCTCAGTACCTCAGTAATTCTAGGAGTCAGGAAATATCCATTTTAAAAGCTCATTGAATCTGTCCTCAAAGCATTCTGGTCGTTGGCCCAATAATATCATCAACACTTGGAACTTGTTAGAAATGTACATTCTCAAGCTCTACCCTAGACTTACTAAATCAGAAACTCTGGGTTTGAGGCCTACCCCTCTGAGGCACGATCGAGTTTGAGAACGGCTTGTTAAAATTATTCTGCCCCAGTGCGAGGAGACCCGAGGACTCCTGGGCCCAGAGTCAGTGATGTGGCCACGGAGTACTCAAGTGGAGAATGGGGCTGCCGGCTGATGGGAAGAGAGGGCATGTGCACAAGAACACCCACACTTGCAGATGACACCCACGTGACCGGGACTGGATGACTGGATGATCAGAGCTCAACCAGAAGAAGGAAGAAAGGGGGGGGGGGTAAGAAGATTGAGCTGATCCAAGCTGATGAACTTGACCTATGCATACGAATGCAGTGACACAAAAGAGGCAACAAATCCTCATAGCAAGAAACATTCCCACCCCCTCCACACACAGAGTAGACAGAGAGGGGCAACTTGGACATTGGATACCCAAATGGGGAGGGAGGGACTACAAAGGCAAGAAGGAACTGGGTTACAAGCTTTCAAGAGGGAACCTAGAGCTAGGGGGCATGGAGGAAGGCAAAATCACCAGTGAGCACTATCCAATTTGTCTAGGTGGAGCTGATGAAATGAAATACAGATGGGTTACGTGCGATACTGTAGTGAATAATGGTTATCAAGACGGATTGTGAGTGTTGGAAATGCTAGGATAAATGTTTTGTAGCAAGGAAGAGAGCGATTATTTCTCCAGTCTAGGAGCGGAGGTCTCTAGGACCACCAATGGATAAGAGCCGAGAACGGGACCCCACCCAGAGAACCCGGGATGCCTGAGATGGATTCAGAGATGATGACATGGAGGGATGAAGCAGCTGGGGACTTTGGATCCAGAGAGGGAGAGGAACTGTTGGCCGAAGACTGAGGAGGGAGCGGGGAGTGTAGAGCACGGGCTTCTAGGATATGCCCTTTGGTCTGAAGACGATGCATGGAGGGGATTGGAACCATGGCAATGTAATGATATACGATGGAATGAATATGGTTCATTATGTAAACTATCTCTTATGTAAACTATCTCTTATGTAAACTATCTCTTATGTAAACTATCATATAATTCACAATAAAACATTTTAAAAAATTATTCTGTCCCTACCCAGAGAAGCAGTGATGTCTGAAACGGAGCCAGAGATGATGACGTTGAGCTATGGAGCAGCTGGAGACTTTAGATCCAGAGAGGGAGAGCAACTGTGTGCTGAAGACCTGGGGAGTACAGGGGAAGGATTGCGTGGAGAGGATTGTAACCATGGCAGTGAGACAATATATGATAGAATGAATGTAAAACTAATGTTCTCTCATGTAAACTATCACATAATTCACAATAAAACATTTAAGAAAAAAATATATATAATACAAAAATAAATAAATAAATTACCCAACAGGGCGCTCCTCTGCTCAAGAAAAAAAAAAAATTATTCTGCCCCTAAATTTAGGAAAGTTGGCTTTGCAGTGTTTTTCGCTTCAAGTTCTAGATTCCTCTTCTACTTACATATGCCAAATCAAAACACCCATAGGAATCAAAAAGAAAATACTTCATGTAGGACGTGTGGACCCCACAAGTGCTTGCGCGGATGAACCCTCGTTTAATTGGTCATTTGTGTGAGGGACAGTCGTCCCTAAGAAGGCCGATCTTGGAACTCTCTGGAGCTCACAACCTGTGTCATGGCTTTTAGGAGGCACTGGACTCTGCGTCCCGCCCAGCGCTCCTGCGTAAACACGCGGTTCCCTGGGCAACGCCTGGAACCCACGTCAAAGACTCCTCCGGGTCTCGGCCGGCCAACAATCACCCCTCCCGGCAGCGGCTGCTCCACCTGCCCCTGAGACACCTTACCGGCCGAGCGGCCGCTTCCCCTCCCCGAGCGGGATGAACAGACCCGCGGCCACCGCGGGGCCCCATGGAGCAGCCGCCGCCGCAGCCGCCGGCCCGCCAGCCAGTGAGCATGGCCTTGTTGGGCAGCCCCCAGCCCGGCGCCCTCTCCGTGGCCGGCGTGCCTGGCGGGACTTCCTCAGCGGCGACGGCCGTGCGCTCCTTCGACACCCTGGCCTCCACAGCAGCCGCGGCGCTGGGGAACCAGAGCGATGGGAGAGGGGGCGGCAGCGCTGTAACCCCGGCTGGAGGCGGTCTCGGATGGTTCGGAGGAGCGGCGGGGGCAGCGGGGAAACCGCCGCTGGGCCCGGAGGCAGCGCAGCTGCTGTCGCACGGGGCCGTGGTGGCGGCTCAGGCGCTCCTCCTTCTGCTCATCTTCCTGCTGTCTAGCCTAGGCAACTGCGCGGTGATGGGGGTGATCGTGAAGCATCGGCAGCTCCGCACCGTCACCAACGCTTTCATACTGTCCTTGTCCCTGTCGGACCTGCTCACCGCGCTGCTCTGCCTGCCTGCCGCCTTCCTGGACCTTTTCACGCCGCCCGGGGGCTCGGCGCCCACAGCTGTTACTGCTGCCTCCACGGGGCCCTGGCGCGGCTTCTGCGCCGCCAGTCGTTTCTTCAGCTCTTGTTTCGGCATCGTGTCCACGTTCAGCGTGGCTCTCATCTCGCTGGACCGCTACTGCGCCATCGTGCGTCCGCCACAGGAGAAGATTGGCCGTCGCCGCGCGCTGCAGCTGTTGGCCGGCGCCTGGCTGGCGGCGCTGGCCTTCTCCTTGCCTTGGGAGCTGCTGAGAGCGCCCCGGGAGCCCCCGGCGGCACAGAGCTTTCACGGCTGCCTGTACCAGACTTCCCCGGACCCCGCACAGCTGGGCGCAGCTTACAGCGTGGGTCTAGTGGTGGCCTGCCACCTGCTGCCTTTCCTGCTCATGTGCTTCTGCCACTACCACATCTGCAAGACCGTGCGCCTGTCTGACCTACGCGTGCGGCCGGTGACTACCTACGCGCGCGTGGTGCGTTTTTTCAGCGAAGTGCGCACGGCTACCACTGTGCTCATCATGATCGTCTTTGTCATGGGCTGCTGGGGGCCCTACTGCTTCCTGGTGCTGCTAGCTGCGGCCCGGCAGGCCCAGGCCACGCAGGCCCCCTCGCTCCTCAACGTGGTGGCTGTCTGGCTGACCTGGGCCAACGGGGCCATCAACCCTGTCATCTATGCTATTCGCAATCCCAACATTTCCATGCTCCTGGGGCGCAACCGGGAAGAAGGCTACAGGACTAGGAATGTGGATCTTTTCCTTCCTAACCAACGCCCAGGTTTGCGGGCCCGAAGTAATCGCTTTCGAAACCGCTATACCAACAGGTTGGGGCCCTGCAGCCGGATATCCTCTTCCAACCCAGCCAGCGGGGTAGCTGGGGACGTGGCCATGTGGGCCTGTAAAAATCCAGTTGTGCTTTTCTGCCGCGAGGGGCCACTGGAGCCTGTGGCAACAGCGGCAAAACAACCTACGTCAGAAGCCGGAGATACCAGCCTCTAAGGATTGTGCTTCACAGCTTGTGGAAGCAAATTTCCACTTCCTTCTTTTAGACAGAAGATTCCAGAGGAAATCATGGGATTTCATAAAGCCAAACATTGAAAAAAGACAGGGGAGAGGGGGGCTTACTACTTCCTCCACAGAACTCCATTAAAGACACTGTTCCCTTCTTCAAAAGTGCCAAAAGGAATGTAAAATGCAAAAATTAAAACAATCTTAAACTACACAAAGTGACAAAATAAAATGCACAATAACTGAAAACAGGAACCACACTGTGAAAAAAAAAATCATTGAATTCAACTAGTATTTGTTCAAATACAATTTTAGGAGTGAAAGGAGACCCTTAGAGCTACTAGAAGGTCGCTTATAAGTCACCTGTATCTGCCAAACTTCAGATTTCTAGAGCTTGCATCTCTGGCATAGGCTTTGAGCACTTAGTCCAGAGAGGTAAAAGTTTTATCCTTAAGCACTTTGGTGCACCTCCTCCTCCCTCATAATCTTTATGGGAAATCTAAAATTCATACCCGTTTTAAAATAATTTTAGGGTTTTGAAAAGATGGTTTATTACTAGATAAATCCAACATTTCCTGAAAGACAAATAGAAGTGTGAACATAAAAAAAGTGACTGTTTTTGAAAGTATTCCACAATTACACATAAAAATTAAGGCCCTTCTACCCCCATCCTAACCCCAAAGTTACCTATCTTGGAAAGCTATGCAGCTTGACTCTTAACCTATCCTGATGCTTTTATTCGGCATCAATTTTGGAATGCCACTCTTGAATGCTTCATATTTGAGAAAAAAATAGCTTTCAAAGTGAGTATTAATCTTTTGAGGAGGTGAATTTTATTTTAGGTACTATTTCAAGTCAAAATTTTAATAAGGTGGGTGATGTCACTTTTTTTCTTTTTTGAGAAATATTCAGAGGTTGATAAAGAGTCCTGGTGTGGTGATATAGAATAAGCACTGGACTGCTAACCCCAAGGCAGGTAGTTCAAACCCACCAGCCACTGCTGAGAAACCCTATACAGGGTTGCTATGTGCCAGAACTGACTTGATGGCACTTAACAACAACACCATAAAGTAGCAAGATTGGCTTCCCTATGGGGCTTATAACTGACTTAAAGACAATTCCAAAAAGGAATTAAAAATATATCTATATTTAAGTTGTGACCCCATTCCTGGGACAAGCATAGAGATTTCCAATAGGATCATATTCTCCTACATTTTGAAATCTAGGTATGTCTGTTTAAAAAAAGAAAAGAAGCAATCATTGTTTTATAGACAGGACTAGGGGTCCCGGTGTGGCGCTGCGGGTTAATGCTCTGGACTGCAAAGTCGGTTTAAACCGCAAGGTCAGCGGTTCAAGGTCACCAGTCACTCTTTGAAAACCCTATACAGGGTAGCTATGAGTAGAAACCGGCTTGACAGCACTTACCAGAAACAAGAAGTCTATAAGAAAGTAGTCTTTGTTAGAAAGGGAGACCAAGTGTGGGATGGTCATATGCAATAGGGTATTAAAAACAGGCATAAAGTTAGAGATACTTCAATCAAGCTGAAAGTAATATCTTCTTCAGAAATGTGCAAACCAAAGATGCTTACGCTTGTTAAATTAATTCAAAAGCACAATCCTGGATTTGTGTGTGTGTGAAATTTCTCATGTTAAATGCAACGGTACACAAAATCATTTACCCAGATATTTAAAAGCTGTATTTGCTCTCTCTTTCCTCCCCCCTCCCCTCCCCCATTTCTTTCAATATCTCAGAGCCTTAAACTGGACAAGTATTTTAGATATGAAACAACTTCAACTATTATCAAAAGATTCCAATGTGAAACAGCCAACATTTTTCTCCTTGCAAAGTGTTTGAAGATGTTTAATAGTCTTTAATTATTTGTGTGACGGATATATGCCATTATTTTGTCATCAAAGATGGAAATACATGATGCATATCAGAGAAAAAGATGTTTTAATTTTTTTCCCCTCAAGGTATCACCAAAATCAGAAGTTTGTCAATTCTCCGTATATAGTTGGCCACACAGGTACAAGGTAGATAAAATAATCCCTCACTTCCAGGCATTTATTATACACTATATTCTGATTTACCATAGCTGAACTAACAGTTAATATACCTACAGTATTTGCCTGTTAAAAACCAAAAACGAAGTGAAGTGCATTTTATGTCATTGTGAGAAAATGAAAGTCATAGCTGGCCTTCAGGAAGAAATGATAGCATCTTCTAATTTGGAAAGACACCAGAATAGGAATTCAACAACTGTGACTAACTGGAAGAAAGATTTAGCAATCCTAAGGAGAGAGGAGTGAGAATGCTGCAAGTAATATCTTGTTGGCTGAGAAGAATGATTAAGTGAAGGTGTGTTAGAGGTAAATAACTAAAAGTGGCCCCATTGCCCATTACCATCAAGTTGATTCCAACTGTAGCAAGCCCATGTGTTACAGTTTTCTTGGCTGTAATCTTTGCAGAAGCAGATCACCAGGCCCCTCCTCCATGGTGCTGCTGGGTGGGTTTGAAGTGCCAATCTTTAGATTAGTAGTCAAGTATAAGACATTTGCTCCACTCAGGAACCATTAAAGGGGCATATGGCATGAAATAATTGTGACTGATGGATGAAGGGGAAAGCCTAGCGATTAGAAGTGACAAGGTGGGGGCATGAAGGACTTAAAGACAGAAAAGAAAGTTCCACCCTACCTCTTCAGTGGAAGGAAGTTTTAGGAAAGGGGTTGTTGTTGCTGTTGAGTGCTATCGAGTCGATTCCGACCCATAGTGACCCTGTGTAGGGTTTCCAAGGAGCAACTGGTGAGCTTGAACCACCAACCTTGTAGTTCAAATGACTTAGTAGTCTGACGCATTAGCCCACAGTGCCATGGAGAAACGATCAGTCTGTTAGTGACTCTAAGAACCATGGTTGGCGAGATTAGAATGAGAATAGGAGATAGCCTCCTGTAAGTTACTGAACAAATTACAGTGTTTTTGTTTTGTTGATTTGAAGCTATACAACTAATCAATGGTAGAACTAGGATTTCAACCATACTCTATGTTTCCTCATCTGCCTTCATCTATCCCCAGAAAGGTCTATTGTTATGGAAACCAAGGATGAGAAGTGGTACTACCATCATTATCATCATCACCAACTACTATTTGTGTCTCCTGCTCTAGGTAGAAGGAGCTCTGGTAGCATAGTGGTTAAGAATCAGGCTGCTAATCTCAAGGTCAGCAGTTCGAAACTACCAGTAGTTCTGCAGGAGAATGATAAGGCTTTCTGCTCCTATAAAAATTTACAGCCATGGAAACCTTGTGCAGGGTTGCTATGGGTCAGAACTGACTTGACAGCACTTAACAGCAACAACTATGTAGAAGGAGTTCTGGTAGCATAGTGGTTATGAGTCAGGCTGCTAACCTCAAGGTAGGCAGTTTGAAACCACCAGCTGATCCACAGGAGAAAGATGAGAGTTTCTTCTCCTGTAAAGATTTACAGCGATGAGTGGGAACCTCAATGGCACACCACTCTATGTAGTTGATGTATTTGAGTTATGGTGTTGGAGGAGAATATTGAAAGTACCATGGACTGCCAAAAGATCAAACAAATCTATGTTGGAAAAAGTACAGCCAGAATGCTCCTTGGAAACCAGGATGGCCAGACTTCGTCTCTCATACTTTGGACAAAGTATCAGGAGGGACCAATCCCTGGAGAAGGCCATCATGCTTGGTAAAGTGAGGGTCAGTGAAAAAGAGAGCGACCCCCAACAAGATGGACTTGGTACCAGGGCAGCAACCATGGGTTCAAGTGTAACAATGATTGTGAGGTTGGCACAGGACCGGGCAGTATTTCATTCTGTTGTGCATAGGGTCGTCATGAGTTGGTACCAATGGCACCTAACAACAACAACAACAGCAACTTCATGTAGGGCTACTTCTTAGGTGCTAATCCTTCTAAAAGAAGAAACCACAATCCTTGACTTAAGGGGGCTTAGAGACAAATTGAAGAGCATGTGTTTTTATAAGACTTGGCTACAACTAGAACTGTTTAGTTTAATAACTGTGGAGAAAAAAAGGTGCAGTATTTTCTGATGTGGTTATCAAAGAAAAGGAGGTGAATTTGTAAGCAGAAGACAGAATAAAAGCCAACAACCAATCTGCCTCAGTTGTAATTGTAAATGCTTAGAGACAAAAAAACAACAGCATAAATAGAAGGAGCTCTGGTAGTATAGTGGTTACACATCAGTCTGCGAACCTCAGGGTGAGCAGTTCGAAACTACCAGCTGTTCCGTGGGAGAAAGATGAGGCGTTCTGCTCCCGTAAAGATTTACAGCCTCGAAAACCCTGTACAAGGTCGCTATGAGTAGGAACCGACTCCACGGCACATAATCACAACAACAAATAGAAGATGGCTCAAATACATCTAAGACTTAGACCTTTCCTCATGCTGCTGATGAGTACACAATTATAGTGCCTATGTTAGACAAAGATCATAAGAACATAAGAACCTATGGATAACATTGAGAATGGAAAATCATGCAGCCTATACATAGACTAAGAGGCAGTCATTCAAACAGAACAAGGGGACACTGAATGGTTTAAAATCAACATACTTATTAAATCTGTATGCTGAGCAAATTATCTGAGAAACTGGATTATATGAAGAATGTGGTGTCAGGATTAGAGGAAGACTTGTTAACAACCTGCGATATGCAGATGGCACAACCTTGCTTGCTGGAAGCAAAGAGGATTTTAAGTACTTGCTGATGAAGATCAGAGACTACATACAGCCTTCTATATGAATTGCACCTCAGTATACAGAAAATGAAAATCCTCACAACTGGACTGATAACGTCATTATAAACGGAGAGAAGATTCAAGGCGTCCAATACTTCATTTTGCTGGAACCACAATCAGTTTTCATGGAAGCAGCAGTGAAGAAATCCAATGATGTATTGAATTAGGCAAATCTGCTACAAAAGTGTGAAGGAGCAAAGATGTCACTTTG